CAAGGAAGGGAGGGAGCGAGGAAATATTGGGTATGTTGCATTTTTTGCTTCATTCACAACTTAACAGTGTCCCACCTTTTGAGCGATTAAATATTGGGTATGTTGCATTTTTTGCTTCATTCACAACTTAACAGTGTCCCACCTTTTATCCATTTCCACAGCCTTACGACAGCTTGCCTACCTCACAGACTTGTTTCTTTCAACTGAGGCTCCCACCTTACTCCAGTCAACTAATCATGGCAGAGCGTTTGCGCTATGCAATCAATAATTGCAGGTCTATAGATATGGACAATTACATGCTCTCACGGAATGTGGACAATGCAGAGGGCTCAGACACAGATTATTGACATTCTGTGAACAAAATCATCTTCCTTTTACTACAAATAGTGCCCTAAGTCCAATTCATTGTTGACATAATTTTACAGTAACCATAGATGTTTTAGGAGCATAAAACCAGATGTTAATAGACAGTGGCCACATTTTAGTTACTCTAAATGTAACAAAAAATTAGATGTTTTTATTTTTTTGTGATTGTAAAAAAGAAAACAAGGAAAAAGAAAACAAAAAAGTATGATCGGTAAGTTTTTTTTCCTTTTTTTTGGTCACTTTTGGTAAGTTTGCATGGAGACATTTTGGTGCATTTTTGTTGGGAATAGTACATTTGTAAGCCCTCCCAGTGAACATGAAGAGTTGTACATTGTGTATAATTGTTCATTAGCAAGGACAGTTTTACATGAATATTCACATATTTATTTTGTTTTAATTTGAATTGCCTGTGCAGGGTTCTTTACGCAGAGAAAAATAAAGCAAATTGAAGAATTGGTTGCTTGTATGCATCTGTGAACTGTGATTGGTTTACTCAGTCTTCATACTTTTCTATTTTGTCTCAGGAAATTACAGTTTTACAGTGTTTAGACAGGATGTGACATTTGAAGCATCTTAAAATGTTTGTCCTTCGATGAACCTGATGTGTAGTACTGTGCTCTGCATTCTTAATGTCTTTGAGGTACTGGCTCTTTCGGGTATACCACTATTTATTCCTCCTACTGCAATACAAGTTAATGTTGTACTTGGTTCCTTCTTGATTTTCCTTTAAACATTTTTCTCCTCGAGAGTAGTAGTTGTTGACAATAATAACACATTGCCACTTTGACTCAGAAACGCTTCAGTCTTTTGTCCAGACTTTTCCTTTTTAATATACAGATTGATGTAGCTGATACCTGCTCAGAGTACAAAAAGTTTAAATGAAGGTGACAGGGCAGTAGTGGAGACTATGGATTTTGTATACGTTCTTAGTTCATGCCTTTGATTCTAGGAAATTTCATGTGTTTGGTCTCATTTGGTTGCAGCTGCAATTGTGTCAGGATCAGCAGGGTGTGCCTTACACTGTAAGGGTTGTATTTGGTTTGGACAGTAACAGACTGTACAAAGCCGGTTTTGTTCTGTGTCTTAGGGAGGTGCTGAAGAACAGATAATTCCCCAGTGTCTCTATCAAAAACATGATTTGTGTCAAACTACAGGTGCTGTGTGGTGTCGAGGAGCGGGACTTAATGGGGCTGAGGAGAAGGGTAGAGTCTGTCCCTAGGTGAGTCACTGCCCCCATTCCTGCTCGCTCTCCCAGGTGAGGATGCTGGGGGCTGAGGGCTGGCACAGCCTTTGTTCACTTCAGCTCCCCGGGGACGAGGCTGCTCTGGCTGAGTCCGGAGAGGAGGGCAGAAATTCCTGTTGTTTCCCTGTGTGTGACTGTTGGACGTTCCCGGGCATTGACAGGCAAACTCCCCGGTTGTCTGAGCCTGAAGTGGTGTGTTGCTGCCAGCTCGTAGGGGCCAAAGGGCTGGCTTGATAAGCTGTAAAATACACTGCAGATCCAGGTTTTATCTGGGAAGCTATTTTGGTCAGGACTAGCAGTTGGCTGATGAAAAGGGTGAAAGGCTCTTGAGCTATGACCACTCTCTATGAGTGAGACATCTGGAGGGGGCTTTCAGCAGTTTTGGGAGGAGGGAGGGACTCGGGGCTCTGAAATCACGCAGACTTAGTTTCCTGCCTCGTTATGTATCATGGTTCCAGATGGAACTGAGATATTGGTGTCCCATCTTTATGTTGAGGAGGAGTATATTCATATCTTGATCTAAATTTATAGGTGTCATACATAAAAAATAGATTACAAGTAAAAGGGGAGACTGCTATCTAAAGTCCTATGTTAATTGTCTAGAGGATTTCATTCATGTGTTTGAATTAGTGCTATGGATTTGTCAGCCTGTTGCAACCCAGCACAGAAAATAATAGAACTGTGCCTAAAAATTGCAGTTTCGTATGGACTCTGCAGTTGGCTTCTTGGATAACGAGGGTGGTTTTGGAAGCGGTTTACAGTAAAGTGAAAGAGGATGTTGATATTGGTAAATATTGATGTTGATTAAAGTATTGTGCTTGATTGCTTTAATTGAGACTTTTTTATTGATTCTGCTTGTCTTTTGAATGTTTTATCTTAGTATCATTAAAACTATCACGTGCTTAGTAATTTTTATTTTATCCTACTGTTTGTTTTCACTCTAATTATATTGTACATACACTGCTTTTAACCTGCTGATTGACATTTTTCTGTTGCTCAGGCATCTGAGTGAGGCTGGAATCATGTTCCAGTTTCTTGCATGATGCTGCCTGTATCTAATTGCAGACAAAGATGAAAAATGCACAGCACTGGTTATGTCCTACTGTTGGAGACGTGTGAGAAACTTCTTAACTTTATATCAATTTAAAGGTACTTTATATATGCAAACCTCTCCCTGTATAGAAAGGGGAAATAAATAGTCTGTGTCTGCGTTCTGTAGTACAAGTAGGTGATACGTGCAGTTATTTAAAGAAAAATATATGCAACTCAACCTTTTAAGAAACCTTGCAGAGGCAGCGTGGCCGTGCGAGGCAGGGCTGGCTGTAGGTGGGCTGCGAGCGAGTTCCCAGTCTCCTGCCTGGTTTCCTTCCCCCCGTTCGGCGCTGGGGGGGACGTACGTGTGTGGCTGAAGCAGGGAGGATCAGGGGGAGCAAACGCGTGTCAGAGGTAAGAACAGGCATGTGACAATGTTTTTATCTAGACCCATTTCAAATTAATATGAGATACGGAGGCACAGTGAGCTTAGAAGCTTTAAATTCTAAACATAACTAGAGAGAAACAGCTTGAATGTGCTGTAGGTGGCACCAGCCTGTCTCTCTTGTTTAACACGACTATTTGCTGTTGCTTATTTTTTGCTATACATGAGTGTACCTTACCTTATCTCAAGAAGCGCTCGCTCTCCCTGTTTTATAAGGCTCTTGCTTCTTGAAGCCTGTAGTTTCTGCTTCTTAGCCTGTTTTTACCCTGGGATTTCATAATTTCTTCTCTGCCAGCTCTGGTATTTCCAATCACTTTTCCCTACCTTTTTTTTTCTCTTCTTTCCCGCCTAGGAGGTACCTCCCTAACCCTTGGGGCTGGCAGAGAGCTGGGCAGCCCTTCCAAACAGGTCGGCCTGCTCCAGCAGAGAGATGAGCAGCCAGTCCCCAGACTGGAGGCAGGCAAGGTCCTTTAACTGGGTGAATCCCCACTCTTTCTGCAGCTAGAGGTAGTAGTGCTGGTTCTTCTCTAGAGCTGAAATGTAGCGGTAGGTGGAATTAGAGGGGACTGGTTAGAGCAGAGTCTATTTGTGAACAGTATTCTGCAGAGGACAAGTGAACAAGTGATGAGGTCAGGACTGGAAGTTTGATTTAGCTGTGTCAGTTACCTGGTTTGACTGGGTGATGGAGTTTAATGGCAAAATAACAGTGCTGCTGGTAAGGAAGCGCTGTTACCATTACTGTGTTACTGCAGGACTTTGTTTATCTTCCTTTACCTTATGGCCAGGTTGAGCTGTGGTATCACAATGGAAATCTGAAGAGTCTTCTGGATGTTGCTGTTCCTTATTGTGTAGGAAAAGGCACAAATGTCTGATAATGAAGTCGTTTTCTATTTGCATCTGATAAATTGACTCATCTTCCAAGTAGGCATCTTGGTTTGACACCTGTTGTTTTTTTAATACTGTCATAAAGTGATCGATAATGGGCCTTCCTCCCTCCATGCCTGGTGAGTTAGTGTGAAGAGTGAAAAATGTTTGGGTAATGTTAAGAGAACCTTGATGGAACTCAAATGGCTTGGAACTAAAGAAAACTGGTAATAATGGCATAAGTAAAACATTACATAATGGCTTAAGTAAAACATAATCACTATATACTTAATTTTCAAATTGGATTGCTAAGTAAGAAAATTTATTATTGATGCTGAAAAAATTTATCAACACTACTGTGTTCAAATTTTACCATGTCATGAACAAATTTCCCCATTCAAGGAGGGGAAGAGCAAAGTACTATTATTACTTTGAGCATTTGTACACAAATAGGAAAAGAAACCAAGCAGGAGAGTGTTCCAAGGCCCTTTTTAGCTCTGTAAAGTAAAAAACCCCACAAAAACCATAATACCACTGTGTGCCGTCCCTTGGCAAAAAAACTGGCAAAAAAGGATAAATAATCTGTAGGAATATGCAAACCTGCTTTCCTATCTTGTAGCTACTTGACAGTCTGTTTGGTGTTACATCTGTCATCACAGCACTTGGGAACTGGCAGCAAGATGAAGGTCTTTGGTTACTAATGTGACTATAGAGAATTCCTACCTTGTTCTGTCTTGTCAGCAATACGTGAAACTAGTGTTTTTTGCATGCCAGAATTGTGTATCCAAGGTAAGAATTGTGTCAACATCCCAACTTCTACATCAGAGTAATTTTGTTCAGTCTAGGGATGTGCTTCCCAAGTTGTAAATGCTGGGTTAGGGTTGCTGTTTGTCCTTCCTGTCTGTGCTTCCAGTTCTGTTCCTTCCTTTGTAGTGCATAAGGCTCCTACGTAAGTTTTAGGAATGAGTTAATGAAATGCCAGAGTATTAGTGGCAAGTTTGTCCTTCTGTCTGTGCTTCCAGTTCTGTTCCTTTCTTTGTAGTGCATAAGAGTCCTACATAAATTTTAGGAACGAGTTAATGAAATGCCAGAGTATTAGTGGCATACTGTTAAATAGCTTTCAGTTGTGAAGATGCAATAATTAAATTGTTTTATTTGTCTTCTGGGTGAGTGTTTCTTACAGATACTCATTCTGATCAAGTATTTCCCTGGCATTCCAGCTCAGTTTGGCTAAGTTTCTGTAAAGCTGTGATTTATTTCTTAGCTCAGCCAAATTAGAGGGTACCAAAGGATATCTGTGGATCAATTAACCAGGATGGAAAGGAGGAGTAAGTATATTCACTTATGTTGAGAGCTGTAAATTCCTCTTTCTGTTTTTGATGCACCACATAAAGAATATTCTCAGGAGTTCATAGGTGGCTCACCAGTTCTTGCAGAGGAAAGAATAAGCCATAGGAATGTAGTCTATTAAAGTATTTCTGCTGAGATTGTTTGAAACTTACCTTCCTAGAGAAACTGATTAGAAATATAATTTTACAGCACTACTCCTACAGTAAAAGTTGGCCTCAAGTGGAATTTTGATTGCTTGTTCCCTTTCTTTCTGTTCTAACATGAACGAAAGACAATATATCATTTGAAATAAATCTTTGTTGCAAGACTAGCAGAGGCATCAGAGCTGAGCGCTCTGTTACAACACCCCAAGCATTTTCTCCACATAGTTTTAATAAAAGGAGCAACAATATTGTAAAAACAATACAGTGAGAACTTGGAAAACAAAACCAGTTATTCCTAAGTAATTGAGGCCTAACTTCAGAACTTGTTTCTACAGTTTAGATGCCAGTGGGAACGGGGAAAAGGTCTGCTTTACTTCAGTAGTAGCTTTTCACACATTCTTTTTGTTTTAGAGCTACTACAGTCACGCTGTTCTCTAAATCTAAAGAAAAACATGTATCATGTTAGATATTTTTGACAACCTTCAATAATTTGTTAAACAGCAATTTAAGAAGTCACAAATCCTGTTGCTTGGGGGAAGAGGTAACTCTTGTAGTCTTCCAGTTATATAAAAGATGAAAATGCAGACAAGTACTAAGTCTGCAAAGCTAAACCTGTAGATATACTGTTAAAATGCAAAAAAGCTAATGGATTATTTTAAACCCTGATGGTCTGGATGTATTTGAACTCCAACAATGCAAATTCCAGTTCATGTGTTTTCAACTGGCAGATTTCCCCAGTGGTCTGTTCCTGGTGCAGTAAGATTAATTATGGATAATTGCAGAGCCCCTCGTGTAATGGAGACACAGGCTCGCTGAGGGGTCTGCACAGAGACTGCTGCAGTCACCAAGTCCTGAACAACTGCTGTGTAATGGAACAGAAACGTTGACTCTATTTTTTCCAAAAGCTAGTATTTCTAAATTTGCTTTAATTTTAAGGTCACTCTCAGTATTCCTGCTCTGTATGAGGTTTTAATTTCAAATGAAATCTTAACTGCTGTGGACTTCATAGTGATTTAAGCTGGAACTATTTGTGGTCCATAGTTTGTCAGACTGGCCTGTGTGCAGCCTTCTGTTTGACGTCTAAGCTGAGCTGACATCTGGCCTCTGGGGGAAACCAACTTATCGACAGCCAGATTTAACCATCTGTCAGCTTTTGTGAGCATAAAGTTCTTCAGCGGATTGTATTGAATGGGAGAGAGACTGAAGGTAAATACAAGTTCAGCTGCAGAGTCCAGAAGAGCAGGTAGGATTATGTATTATGGTGTGCTCTCCAGGAGTCACCATTCTGAACTCAGGTCAGAATTGCTGAACAAAATGAAAAGTAGCAGAAAGCAGAATTTGAGGACACGCTCCCACATAGAGTAAAGCACAGGGTTTGAGACAGGTTGCTTTTTAAAAAACGGGATTAATTCAGACTAGATGATCATAATGATTTTTCTGTGGTGTTATACTAAGACAGACTGAACAAATGGAACTCATGACCAGTGCCTGCAGGACAGTTGACACCGTAAGGTGGCACTCAAAAATGTTTACCTTTCCGTGGGCAAAAATGTTTAAGTGCATAAGGAGTGATGGAATGTGATGTTACCAGTCCCAAGGACTCAACACCACGACCAAATCCCACTGTGTTGTATCAAGGCAGATGTTATCCAGCAGAATAAAACTGCTCCAGCCTTTGGTGTCAAATTTTGTAGACGATGCCATAGCAACCCTTCATTAAAAAAAAAGTTTCACTTCATGTAGCAGAGCAGCATTGCAGGAAAGTGACAGCACTGTGGTTTGGGCTGAAAATAGCTATTTGTTTTGTACTTTGTGGTGAGAAACGGGTGTTTATCAAGATCTCTACTGAAGTGTGTTCCTAATTTAGCATTTAAAGCTACAGGCTGTAAATTACTGTTTTTTCCTGTAGGGTAGTTCTGTAAAATAGCATTTGTTCACACTGTGTTTCCTTTAATGTCAGCTTTCAAAAATAACTGGGTGTATCTTGGCAAAGTACATTCTGCAAAGGGTCAAACTGTGTTTTGTGGGCGTTGCCACACATCCCTCGTTAAGGCCAGACAAATCAGCTACAGGTGTTTATCACTGAGGAAGTGATGGTTGTGGGGCACTCTGCTTTTGCGAGGAAGATCATGGTGTGGGTATCACTCTGAGCGGATGGAATGACCATATGGATATATCCTTTAACAGAAATTTGTTAATTGCTCTTTCCCTGACATTTGTGTAAGTCATACAGTTACCCAGGCTGTGTCTACTGTGGGTTTATGCCTTTCCCATTACACAAGGAGTTTAGAAAGCAAGGCAGGGGGGTCCGCTCTGGACCTCATGACTCAATGAGAGGGTCTTCCTTACTCTTTGCATCTCAGGTCTCTGTGTGAATCATTATAACTCAATTTTCCTTGGTATGTTTCTTCCATGTATTTATTAATAAGATGAACCTTGCCGTCAGTCTTTGCTGTATTCCATCAAATTTATTGAACTCTGTCAGACAAATTACTACTTTACCTCAATAAAAGATACTGCTGCTTCTCTCTTCTGAGTGAGGTACATTCCACTCAGCCATGACAAGAGGATATCAAAATCTCAGTTTTTCAGCCTTAATAAGGTCTAGCATTATGTGACAGCAAGGCAGGGTTTTCCAGTTTCAAGGAACAACAGGTTTAAGCAAACAGGTTTTTTCCTTAAGACCATCCTGGTGGAGGTACAGACCTTTTCCAGTGCAGCCTTCACAAAACACATCAGCCACCTTTTTGGACTCAAAGCAACTGCTACTCAGGAGGAGAGTGGAAGCAAAGTAAAGCACCCACATTGACTGAGTTTATACAATTTGTTGCACTTAAAGCTGAACCAATTTTCTTGATGCTTTTTCAAGCATCAACTTTTTTTCTGGCTTACTGTCTGGAATCATGTTAGCACTTCTCTCTGCTCTCAGCGTTATTGAAGGACATTTTTCCCTGACTCTCTCCAGACCAGTTTGTGTTATGTTCCGGCAGAAATCCGCGTGGAGCGTTCGCAGTGATGCCCCGTAGAGGGTGACTGCTTCCAGTGTCCGGTCACTGATCCGCACACAGTTCTCCAGTTTGAGTGTCTTGAGGTTGGGGCAGCTCTTGAGCAGCAGCAGGATGCAATCGTCTGTGACATGGCCACATCCAGAGAGGGTCAGAGAGAGCAGGTTTGGACATCTGCAAACATGATCATTACAGGTGAGATGAGGGGAAAGATAAATAATGGAGCTCAGGAGGAGCTAGTATCATCAAGAATAAATATGAAAGTTACAAAAATACCTCCTGTTCCATCAGGAGAGGTAAGAATGCATGCGTAGGTGGGGGCATATGTGGACCTTAATGCTTAGCTTTACTAATTGCAAGATTTACCTTCTTTGCTTTTTCTGTGGGTAGCAACACCTATAGCTCAGCTGGCAGAGGGAGAAGGGGAGGTGGATGCCTGTTGAACCTGCAGCTGCATTGTTTTTTCTTAAGCAGTAGCAAGGAGCTGCGCTTCTCCCAGTGCAGGGAATGAAGACCCAGCAGAGGTGATTTACAAATCAGGATGAATTTGAGGACAATTGAGCGAAGAGGCTGTTGTGTAGACATGCCAAGCACAGGCAAGTAAGACACTCCTGCTCTTGATTTTACAGGGATTAATGGGTGTATTTCAGGTCCTTGGCTCTACTGAACAGGTGCCAGCACCTAAGAGTGTTGATGCTCAAACCCCACCCAACTCTTAAACCTTCCTTCAAATTATTGAAACTGGTAAAAACTCTTCTACTGTTAAACAATGAAGCAAATTGAAAAAGCTTTCTTTTTTTGTTGCTTGGGTGGACCTGGGAAAGTACAGAAAAGGCCTAGTCCAAGACAGCGTGTTGATGACTTACAGTGTCTTTGTGCAGACCCGTTATTAGTGGCTGTTGTGCTGAGCAGGCAAGTTTGCAGGTTGCAAAGCCTTTAGTGCAGTGTCTGCCCACACCTCTCTCGGGGGAGCAGCTCAGCTCTCCATCCATGTAGCTAAATGCAGCTTCATGTTTCTTGTTGGCACAGGACTCTCTGGGCTCTGTTGTTGCAGGGTAAATGTTACAGCACCGTTAGCCTACCTCCATCCTGTAAGAACTGTAAGGTGTCCGTAAGTGCCTCCATATAAATGTTGTGCTTACAGCCTGTATGGGGTTTAGGTGTACAACAGCCCTGGGGGCAAACAAGGGGCTCTGCCATCTCTGCAGTATGTTCTTCTGTCCTTATCAACTGGTAGGTAGTGCACTCCCCTTTCTTTACACCACCCCCCCGCTGCTGCCTGACTTCACCTTTTGCAGGGATAATAAAATGAGATCACATCAGCTGCATGAGCTTTTTTTCCCCATTCTTACCCTTTACACCTATGAACAGTTCGGAAAACAAATGTTTTAAAGCAGGCAAGGTCAAGAAAGGCTCCCCCACCTGCTATCTCTTGTGGCTTTGTCAGCAGAATAAAAGTATCTTTGCACAGAATGCTAGGAATTTTGTTGGGATAGAAATGTGTTCAATAGATTGCTGGAAAAAAAAAGTCAGGCACTTGTTTTAGGAAGGCTAAAATGGATGAGGTGGGAGGGAGGAGCATGTGGCAATATAAACTGTCATTTTTAAGAATTCAGTTTAAGTTGTGGAAACAAATCCATGTAAGGCTGAAAGGCTGAAGTTTTATGGACTTTGAGATTGCTCACTAGCTTGGCTTTGCTTTGGATTTTGTGCAGCAGCCAGTCTGGGGTTATGGATTCTGCAGAGGAAAAAGGCATTTCAACTATTTCTGCAGAGCTGCGGTCTTGTGTCCTCTTTCTGAATCCTAATTTGTGATGGCAAAAGAAATAGAACTAGTTAACGTGTGGCCTCGTGGCAGATATTCCAGTGCCAAAATCAGAGAAATACTTCCTCTTACACCTTCCTTTGTAGGCACAGATATGGCTCCTAATGATACTTTGATAATTAATCCAAATTTTTTAACAGTTGTTCTAGAACCGTTACTTCTGAAATTTTGTACTTGCAACTAAATGTTCTGGTTGGAATTTACATTTCAGTCCTTGTTTCAAGACTGCACTGTGGCAGTCAGTATGGTGTCCAGCCAGACACTGTCCTGTCAGTATCCTGTCATTTGTTGGTTGTTTTTTTTCAATTGTTACTTCCAAATAGCAGTTTTTCCCTTCCCTGTTGTGGCACAGAGCTGAAGGCTGGCTGTGGCACAATGGTGTGCATTTCTGACAGGCACTGGCCTGCACCTTTCAGCCCTGGTTTAGTGCAGCAGCCCCCTCGGTGGTACTGAAGCCCCAGGATTGGCTCTACCCCCTTTGCTCCTCCTCGCGTCATTTAAGTTTTCCTTCCTTAGAGCTGTGTTGTAGCAGTAAAGCTGTTCTAAGAAAGGGGGTGCACCCAGGGCTGCTTTTCCATAGTGGTATTTCTTTCCCTTTACTGTAGTTTATAAAAAGCTTAGATAGAGTTTAATTTCAGTATAAAAGTTTTGTTATGACATACATTCAAATGTCTTCCCTCTAGGCTCCCCCCCACCAGGACAATGCTTTGCACTGCCAGGACGTTTCAGTTAAGCAGCAGTTCAGTTGGCAGTATTGCACTTTCCGATATTAATTATTCATTCTTCAAAAAAAAGAAGGAAAAAATTAGGCTTAAGGAAAGTCAATATGAAGTATATACTATTGCCACTATAAAACCAACTTAACACTATATTAAAACTGCAAAGTCAAAGCACTCACGTACTCAGTGCCCCACTTCACGTAGGATGTGTGGAGTAAATAGCTCAGTTCTCATTGCAAGGCAGTTAACCTTTACAGTAACATGGAGTTTCACACCCAAAGAACGTACCTGTTGCAAACTTCTAGTAAAAAATCATTGACAGTGTTTTCATGCCTGTTACAGAAGTCTTTCTGGAAATTGTTTTTCATCCAGTCCTCAATGTTACACACCTTCACTCTCTCTGAATACCAGCAGATGGATAAGTATTTTAAAGCAGGTCCCAGGAGAAAATTATCCTTCTTTAGTTCCGCTGGAGAATGAAAGTTCAACAAAGACCACAGTAAAGGATCCTGAAACACTTCTAGCAACTTGTGACATGTTTTTGCTAAACTTTTCCTACTGTTTTTGTCCAGAAAAGAAAACAGATGTAGCAGGCATTCCCGATTCAGCTGGGTTATATGCATAGCCGGTCGGAGCGTGTTGGAAAGAAGGCAGTCTCTGGCCTTGTGGGATCCCAGCAGTGCTGGAGGGGGCTCAGTCACCAGGAGCCTGTTGCACATATATGGTTGTGGAATGGTGTTTATTTTTGGCCAACAACTGGTGTAGAAGCTAAGAAGAGGGAAAAGAAACATGCATGTATGAAACTGTTGTTCTCTTTCTACAAGGGAATGAAATGGGTATGTAGAATAAATAGCAGCACTTGACTGTCATGAAATGCTTCCTTAAAAGGGATTCCTTTCCTTTTAGGCACGCCTGAAGTTTAGCAGTGTTTTGTGCCCAGTTACTGAACTGGGGGCTGGGACAGGGGGTGCAGCTACAGCTGCAAGGACTGGGTTGTTTTTGCAGTGTTCAACAATTTTAGTCTTGAATTGGTTCATTGATTTTTCTAAGGTTGCACTTTTGATTTGTGTTCAAGGACTGATACTAGATAATGAATTTTCACGAACAGCTTGCAAATAGAGTTGAAAATTTCCCTGGGTGCTTTAAAGCACAGACAAAGGCTGCAGCTTCAGTTTCCAAGCCTCAGGCTAAGGGGCAGTTTCCAGCAGTGTTACTTGGCCAACCAAAGGGAGTGTTTGCCCACCTTTGCAGCAGGACAGTAATGGCAGGGGAAGGCGCGCGTGGGAACTGCAGGTCTATGTTTAGCTACTTGTAGGCTTGTGCTTTTAATAGATGTCTTCTATTAGCCTCAGTTTTACAAGTTTTCTTGTTTATGTTTTTGTTGGTTTAGTTCTGTCACTGGTTTTGGTGGGGAAAGGATATATAGAATTGTTGCTGGGAGTAAAAGTGTTTGTTTTCCAGTAAAGGGAGAAACGGTAGCAGAAAGTCTCTCCTAGAAGAAAAATACAGCTGGAGCAAATGGCAGGTTAGAATTAAAAGCAACAATGAACAGCCCTATAACTTCCATGTGTGTGAAATGAAAATGCTCAAGATTAAGGCAGTTTATGTCCATATTCTGTCTGGTATTAATACAGGAAAATTATACATTCAATTAATTAGTAGATAGTGACAGAAAAACAGCCTTGCAGAAATTTTTGTAGGGGCTTGTACATTGTCAGTAGCTGGGAGGTTTTATGTACCTATGCGTTACAGGGTTTGTTTCACTACAACAGGGCTGAATCAGACCAAAGTTCATCTTTTCCTTCTTACCGTGCGAATGCAATTTGAAATTCAACTCTGAAAAACAAGATTTGAAATTCACTTGCTTTAGCTTCTTACCTGCTTGAGTGTGTACTTACACACAGTGACTCAAAAAAATAGCAATTGTGGATCTGTTTAGAAAACTGCTAACTCTAAAGAATTATTCTATACAGTAAGCTGTGCTTAACCATTGCCAGTCTTTTTGGTTTCATTTCCTTTGCCATTTAATGTTTTCCTTGAAACGAGGAGGAGATTCCTGCTCTCCACCCACATTCAGAAACGGGCTCTGGCCAGCTCTGTCCCTCTGAAGCCACAGAGGGACAAGGCGGGTAGATGATGGCACGTACCAGGTAAGCCACTCACTGGGGAACAGCAGCTTAAATAGCGTGCCAGCGGTTCTTGGTCTTCATTCTTATACTAGCAGTTTTCAACTCTTACTCGGTCCCCTTCATCCTTTTCAGAACTTACCTTCATTTTTGAGCAGGTTTAAATAGTTGAGACTGCTCAAAGTTGCAATAAACACAGGAATATAATTTAAAAACCACCACCACACAAGCAAACTTGAGCGCCAAGGTTAGCAGTGCCAGGACAGACCCTGTAACCACACACAGGACACACACCGCCATCTGACATAAAAATTAACAGCTGTTAGGGGACAAGGCCCTGCAAAATTGAAGGGCAGGTCTTCTTTGGGTTTAGAAGCTACATTTTGGTAGAGGTGTTAAATAGTGGGAACACTTCCATTTGCTTTATTTATTTTTTTTTTACCCAGAACAAGTTAGAATACTCTGCCACCCGTGTTCAGAGGATTTACACCAATGCTATTTGGCAATCCTGTAGAAGGACAAAAGGAGTTTCATTTTCTAAGGAAAGGAGACACTTTAATGGCACGTTTTCCATAAACACACTGCATGAATGAGATATAATTCACATTCAACCTGGAAATGCTCCAGAAACACACAAGATGAGCACAGTCAGTAATCCTCACTGAAAATTACACACTAGATTTTAATGGTAAACAATTACAACTATGGCACTACAGTACTTGAGGATATCCTAAAGCACATTGGAATCAATTTTCAAGGTGCTGATTACCTCATCAGTAAGACACAGACACACCAGTAATGAAACATTGTTGGGGAAACTTTTGAACACCACGTGTTAGGCTTTCCATTGGTTTAGCAAAATCCTTATAAATGGCCTCCTGCTTTTGGTACAAGTCGCTGTCCTGGCCCATCTCCTCTCAGGCAGACTGTCACCACCTGGAAAGCACCTTCTGACCCACAGGAGCTCTGTTTGCAAGTGCCTTAGGGTTTCACATAACGCTGCACTTCACACCTGGCTATACAAAACCCTAAAGCAGAAGTATTCTGAGAGCTGGACATTTTGCAGGTTTGTTTTAGTAAATCTTGTCTCCAGTTGTATACGTGGCTAAACAATCACTAACAAAAGGACAACCTTCGATCAGACAAATTTTGGTGAAAAATATGCAAATCTTTGAACTGTAGAGAGCAGTTGTTGCTTGCAGAGAAGTTCACAAGCAAGAAAAAAAATTCTTGCCAGTTAGCGTGTACTACGATCAGCAGTAAGTAGAAAAGAAACATTTGGCTTAAATGAAATGAGATATCCCCCCCTCCCACAAGCTAGTAGATAAATATAGGATATACAAGTAAGGTTAAAAATGTAATACTAGGCCAGGTGCAGTATATGTTACTGGTTCAGTGCTCAGTTACTTTTTTCTTTTTTTTTTTTTTTTTTGACACCACACTGAATAGAATACAGTGGATAAGCAAAGTTCTCCACCAGGAAGAGAAATACTTGTGTTGCCACAACAAACTGTTCATACTGTCCATCTGGGTTTGCAGTGGGAGAAGTTAAATTAGGAAAGGATTTACAACGTACTTGTTCCAGCAAAGCATATGGCTGAGTCCTTATCACCACCTGCTGCAAGAACAAGACAGACCTGATTGCATTGTGTTCCCATGGCCGTGTCTCACATGGACCATGCTGGAGAGATCATATTGCCCAAGACCTTAATGTTACAGAGCAAGTGTTACTGAAAGGAAATACCGAAGTGAGAACATAACTCTGACCCAAAACAATTAACTGGAGAAGTAGAAGCTGCTTAAAATAAGTGAATGTTGCTAAAGATTATAAATTTAAGTTTCTAAAAATACAGAAAGGCACATTTACATCACTGATTTGCGAGAACACTGCACACACCTGACTACTGTAAGTTAAACTGCTTCTGGCCAATAGCTAGTTGTGTAATTTAAGCTTTGTATTCTCAAAACTGAAATTCTAAAGCAATCCAATCCAAGTAGCATGCAGAAAAAAGGCAGCTATAGATGGAATCTACTGAACTCCCCACTAACTGAAAGCAATAAGGCTGCCCTTCAGGGTAATAAACTGGTAAGATACTGCACTTGCCCCACACACCAATGAAGTCTCTCAAATACCTTTTTCTGCCTGTAGAAACGGTAACAGCTACCTATTCCCATTAGGAGAAAGGCTCTGGCTGCAAGAAACAGAGAAATGGTAGGTGACAAACTATCTACAATTTAAAGCAATGAATAGTTCTATTTATTGTTCAACTTAAGTAAAAGAAGACATTGTTATATATGTCACTTAATGTATCAAATAATAATCACAATAGGTTTTAACTAGTGTACAGTTTACATATTCATACACCATTAGCAATGCTGAATGCTTTCTGCACTTTTATATTAAGCCAATTTCTCTCTTTCCTGGGTGGAGATGCTGTGGAAAAGCTATGAAGAATGAAATTTTTAAAAAACCCTGATCATGATTTCTCTTTGTACTTGCCAGTGTACAGGCAGCAGGTGACACACAGCAGCAGGTTGAGCTGCGGTACAGCCTGTAGGGAAACTTTTAATGGTGTTCTGTGCTGTCTCTCAGAAGCATTAACTAGAAAGGATAATCAGATTTTAATTGAATTCTTGTGTGTTTTCAGACTACTATTTTACTGTTATCACAAGTAAAAGGCGCTGTCTGCGTTGACTCTACATTAAGTAAATTCTACTCCTACTGCCATGCTTTTGGGATTTTAGGAGTGTCCAGTTCCTTGCTGGGCACACAGGGGCATGCTAAAAGGATGGGCAGGGGACGAGAACTGTAGCATTTGTCAAATTCCAGGGGTTTGGGGGGGACTCCTGGCTTTTGCAATGTTGGTTTTCCTGTCCACCTTTTTTAAATCTTATTAGCTGACTTCCACTATCCAGAATGGCAGTACAGCTAAAATTCAACTGTTGGTTTGTTTTCTTAACAGAAGTTCTTCCCTGTTACACAGCCAAGTTCTAGAAATAGTATCATCCCTCCAGTGTTCATGTAGAGCCTGTACATAAAGATCCCACCCTGGGCCCGTGCGTCAATACCACAGCCAGACAACAACCTCTCTGGGCTCATCATCTCAGCCAGGCGGGCAACGCTGTGAAACTCAGCAGCTTCCCTTTGGTTTGCATTTGAACTGCTAAAACAACTGTCAGTTTTAAGAGAATGGCAGGCATTTAGTGGACAGGAGCTATATTTAGACCTAAGACTGTTCTCACAACCCCCAAACTTTACGGCTGTATTCCCAGTTCCCACCAGGAAGGAGGGCTGGGGTCCCACTACCAGGAAGTCTCCAAGTTTTCAAGCAAGTTAAGTGTTTATGATCAGATTTCAGGATGACAATCTAGAACAAGAGGTGTCTAAGGCAATTCAGGTTTAGTTAAAAAAACATAAATCTCAACACAATCTAGACATGTATATATTTTAAGATAATTTTTTTTTTTAAATTTGAAAGGGGGGGAGGGCAGAGCATATGTGAGGAATACTTGAATTAAGCTGCAGTATAGATACAATTAAACCAACTGTTTATTTACAATGATTCCTGAAAGCAGCCTGAATACACACCAATATAGCAGCAATTACCTGGTCTATTTAATGATGCCACATCTCCTCTCTTCTGCAGACAAAGAATGATTGTTCAGAGGTCACTGTTTAGTTTCTTGCACGAGGGAAAATAGTACGTGCAAACAACTCTTTGATTTAAAGAGATTAAATCATGTCTACGCAACAGCTGTGACAACAGCATGAAGTTGTATTGCTCTTCATAATCAGAAGCACATTTATCTTGCTCGTAAGGAGGATAGAAAGCTTCTCTGATGTAAATGTGCCTTTAGAAAGTGAGAACTGAAAACATTAATATAAAAAAAGTCAAATAACTAAGTATTTCATGAAACTATATATATAAAAATTGAGTTATCACAACTAAAGCAGCAAATCAAAATCTGCTGAGGTTTTCTGGTATAACTAAAAAAAAAAAGTTAGTTTGTGTCCAAGTTCAGTAAGTCAAATGCTACCATTGACACAACAAAACTAAAACCCACAAGAGGAAATTGAAAAGTGCACAATGAAATTAATAGTCTTGGATCAAGTATTTATGGAAAAATGGAAATGTTTTGTCCGGTGGACTTGATAAGTGAGAATTAGAAGGAGGTATTAAAGTTTATCTGATCCAGATTTGGCTTGCCGTTCCACGTAGAAGAGGATGTAGGCCTTGGCCTTTACCACAGTCTCCTCGTCGGTCAGAGTTACAGTACTGTCGTTGAAGTGGAACCAGCGGCCCTCGTGCGCGGCGTACGCGGTGTAATGTCCAGAGCCAACGCTGCCGCGGGGGGGGAGAGAAAGGACAGTCAGGAGGAGACACAGCAACACACTCTCTGATGTACTTGCTGTTCGGGCTACGAGACTTTCAGGAACCAGGGGAAGAAAGGACCTGACAGCCCTCCACAGCAGTTGGTAAGATGCAGCCCTTCTTAATCTGCGGGGCTCAAAAGTTCCCTAAAGTATTTATGTTAAGTAAAATAATCTTTACTGGGATGAGCTGAAAGGGGTTTTACATATGAATTTATTACCATCCCATAGTACTTGTGCAAGCAAGGCTTCCTGCAACACTGAACTTCCATGTTTGCCTACATAAAGATCAAACCCATTAGTATTCAAGCATTAGCTATAAAAAATTCACTATGCTCTATTTTCAGAAATCTTCCCTATTTATGTCTTACAGAGATCGTGTAGTCTAAATATAATCAAAAGCACTCACAGCAAAACTAATCCCAGAATACCAAGAAGAAAAATTTTAAAGTTCATCTTAAACAGATGGAGCTGTATTTCTTGAATGTAACGTACCAGAACTACAAACCCATCCATTTTCATTACCTTACCACCCCAAGAGGGGCCTGCTTTCACTTGCTTACATGTCATAACACACGCTCAATATTTCCAACTGTCTAATTCCATTCTAATCATGACCAGCTTTCCTTTGCTGTCCATACAGCTTTTGATGACTGTGAAGCACCAGTCAGACACGCTGTGGTGCTACAAGGGTTGCCTTTAGTAGTTAGATGTTTTCTTTAAAAGAGTCCAGACCTTTACTCTTGAGAAAGCAAAAAGAGGGGCTTTCTGGACAGAACTTCCTTTTTCTATCTTTGAATTAAATTCAGGTATCAGCAAGGTTTTAATTAATAGGGTGTAGTTTCTTTAAAAAAACTCCTTTTGCAGCTCATGCCCATAGAGTGATTGCCTGAACAACAAGAACACATTTCTCTCAGCATAAACAGTCATTTTGTACCTACTACTGTTACTCTCAACAGATCTCTCCAGGGCTGGGAAAAGTGGAAGAAGAAAAAAAAAAACCAACCAGAAAAAAAGACACAAAACACACCCAACAACTTTAGGTCAGCACGTGAACCCTAGGCAGGCTTGTGGCGTGCCTGTTTGTTAGTGTTCACTTTGAAGTTCACTCCTGTAGGAGAGAAGGTAAATACAAGATAGATAGCTGCTTCCAGTGTGCCAGTCTCAGGTCTACATGCACACGCACTCTGGTGGCATAATAGTGTACATGTGCCTTTCAAAGTGAATAAAAGAGAAAAAAATATTTCATATTTTTGAAAAAAATATTTCAAAATGATGTCTTAACTTCTGGAGGGCCCCTGGATTCACTCGGTTGGTTTAGAGCTTTCTGGTCCTAGAGGAACTAGCACATGTGCCTTTCAAAGTGAATAAAAGAGGAAAAAATATTTCATAGTTTTGAAAAAAATATTTCAAAATGAGGCCTCTCTTCTGGAGGGCCCCTGGATTCACTCAGTTTAGAGCTTTCTGGTCCTAGAGGAACTAGACTATTTTCATTCTGTCTCACACTTCTCATTATCCCCAAAGATGGCCAGTGGGCACTCACAGGAATAACTGTACAGATCTATCTGAAGTTAATTCAGCTTAGTTCCATCCAAGTTTATAAACTACTGCTTATTTCCACCAGTAAAAATACAGACATTTACTAGGGACAGAAAAACCGTAAATTAACTCTGCACGTGCCTCAGTGGGGAGCAGGTCTGTGCCAAGCAGCAGCCTTACCCCGTGTACTCACCCCGAGCCGTGGTGCACAACAACAGCCGCCAGGTCGTACAGGCAGCTCTCCGGGCCACTGTTCTCGGGCTGTGGTTTAAAAGACAGAAAACTCTTCAGATCTCAACAGCACCTACTATAATTTGTTATAAAAAACCATATACTGTGGAACAAATTTCTACAGCAAGTATCAATGAGTCTTCATACCTCTAACAAGTAGCATTTCATGTCTAGGCCTCGTAAAGGAAACTCAACATATGTATCAACCTTGTTTCTCAGATATGCCGTCCAGTGAAATCGTTTCAAGTGTAAGCATAGCACCTGCAGGGTTCAAAAAACAAAGGAGAAGGATGCATTAGAGAAAGAGGTGGAATTTAGAGCTGGACATTTGCAGTAGCCTATGGCAGGGTTAGGTGTTGGGTCTACTAAGGGCTGAGTTGTTATTTCCTTTGACACATTGTCGTGCTGTTATTTTTCATGCTTAGACAAACCTTTGGTAGTTTCTGAATCCAGAATTTTTTGGTGGACTTCTGTTTCTTTTTGCATTTGTGACACATATACAGCTCTGTCTCATCAAGTTCTTCCAGGTCTGTAAAACTGCGAAGACAATCTACAAAAAGAACAAGATACAAAAAAACAGAACAGCAAGATAAATAAACCTGATTCAAGACGTGATTTTTGTCACATGAAATGTAACAAATACAGCACTATAGAGAAGGTGTGCTCATCTGCTGCGCCATTCTAGTTATTGTATACATCTGTGCTACAAAAAGCTGTCTAATGATGTGTTGTAATACAGTAACATGTCAGAACATGCAGCATTCCCTGTTCCTTCAAACATCGTTACAGACAGTTCAAGAGAAAAAAGGCATTCATGAAATAGCCATCTTTCAAACAAGATTCCCTCCAACATTCAACACAACTATTCTAATGAAACTAAATTACTTTCTAACAATATTCAGCTTTTAAAAGGTGATTTGGTTTCAAGGCATAAAGTAGACACAGAAGGTAATGGGGTTTTGATTATTATTTCTCAATCTGCAGCAAGTACATTCACAAATCTGTAAAAATGAACATCCTTTAAAACAAGGTCAGTAACAGCACTAGTGCCCAACTTCACAGGATTGTAATTCTGTTGTTTAAAAAGCAGAACACCCCAGAGCCATCCTTATGCTGCTCAGCACAGCGCCTCAGCAAATGCCAGCAGACCACAATGCAGATGAGCACGGCTTGGTAACACTGAGGTACATTAGAAATACTCTGACCACAAAGAAACACCTCTGCTGGAATCCTCCTGGATATTTGGCTGACTTCCTGAAGCATTTCTCAGCTCTACCACAGTAGAATGTCAATACACAGTCACTGGGGTAAAACCTGTATCGGAAACTACTTTGGTACCTTCTACCACAGAATCTCATAAAATTAGATGGCATGTGGCACCAAGTCACACCCTGGGTGAAAGCCTGGCTCCTCTGAAATAGATACTCTTAAGAGTCTATACTCTTAGTTTGTTATCCAAGCACTCTTACCTCGTAGTGTGCACATTGGTCCATTTTCTTGATTTTTAGTACGTTTGTTTCTGAACTGACTTGGAATATCTAGCGAAAGGTCTAGAAAACAAAGAGAAAATAAAATTTAGGGCTGAATAAAACAATGCCTAATCTTTTCAGGCTAAAACTCTGGTTCAGTCATGTGACATCTAACTATATCAAGGTCCAGATTCATTTTTCTGCCTTAAGTCACATGGTATTTGGAAAGCAAGAGGCACCTTACCTAGGAATGGGTCAAACTTTCTAGATTCAGTCCCACATATTAGGCAGTTGACTTCATTTTGAAGAATGCCTCCAAAAATGGCTGTGACGACAGTAGACGCTCCATTTCTAGACAAACCACATCAGAGAGGTAAAGTCAGTCAGGATGTCTCAGATTCATTTTCAGTACCTGTCACATGTTCACTGTTACAGCTCTCCGCTGCTCCACAGAGCGGTGGTGTCCGTGTGTAACAAACAGTGACCAAGTTCATCCCCTGGGCATTTCATTCACCCCTGAATTTACAGCGCAAGCATTTAGCTGCTCTGACTCTTCTGCTTTATCTTGTACCCGAAAATGCGTGAACCCCGTATGCTCTAAGCAGGTACTTAACATGTCAGTGTTGAAAATGTTCCAGTTGATTGCATTGCTGCAGCGGAGAGCTGATGCTCACAGGGGTACAGTATTTTAACCCTGTAATTAAGGCTGTTTCTGAAACAAAAGTTGCTTCTTTTAGGTAGGTCAAGCATAATTTTGTTTTAATTCTGTACCCTTTGTTACAAGTAATTTTGACTACTCAAGTATATTTCTGCACTTCACTTGCAAAGACAGCTTAAGCTGCATTGAGATAACGAGAAACATTATCTCAGCTTTCAAATTCTCTGTGCTTTCATTACTCTCTCAATCATTTTGGCAGATTACGTAATGGATTTATATCTCATAGTCCAATTTAAAAAAATCAAAACAAAGTATTTTTAAGGTATATTATTATTATTATACAACTGCTTGACTTGCTAGTTTGTGCTTGCAGACGTGACACCACAAGCCTGCAGAAACTTGTGTTCCTTATCTGCACTCCACCTACATCCTTAAAGTTACTTTGAACACTTCTGGGTGAGCAGAAGGAAATGGCTACCCAAAGAAACCAGCACTCGAGGAGTGCAGTCACAGCCTGCTTAGTACTTTACTGTAGGCATTTAAGTGTATGTGGCATTAATTTGCCCTTGACAGAAAGCAGCTTACTCCACCTCACCATGCGTGTCAACAGCCATTCTCAAGACCAATTTGCAGCAGATATACAAACAAAGTTTAAATTCTCCTTGGGCTTTGACATTCAAAATGTTGAAAAAGCAAAATTAGTTTAGTTTTCAAATACACTTTAATTCTAAGAACATTTTAGGATTTCTTTGTGGGATTTTTTTAAGCATCAGCAAAGCAACATAAATGTGGTAAAAGACACCATCTGAACTCTAGGCTTTCCCTGATGAAGTACCTATAAAATTCTGCATCTCTCAGCTCTGTATACTCTGTCCTAGTCAGAATAGGAAGGGAAAACTCCCTCAACTCTTACATAGGGCATCCAAGGACTAAGGGATCCAATGTCCAGGCTGAACTGACTTAACTTTCCTTCCTGAAGCAAATTAAAATGTTTTCTCTCTGTGACAGTTTCAGTCTGAGAGAAAACACACCTGGGGCAGAATTCAGAAACAACAGTATTTTGAGGAGCACAGAAAGAGGAGTGAAACACATGGATTACCTCTGTTTCAAGATGTAACAGCAACATGAAAATCAAAATCACCAGGAAAAAAGCAAAAGCTTTAACTGTGTCAAGTGATACACAAATTTAGCAGGATTATCTGCAGGGAAATGGACTCCAGCCTGTAACTGCACGGCTCACTCCATGGGCCAGGAGCTCTGCTGACAATTTAAACCTACAAGTACTTGGCCATCTTTTTTTGCTCCTGTATCATTCGGGCCATCTGTCACCCCAGGACGTTGAGATATTGTCTGAACAAAGAATTCTATGTGGGTATAGAACAGAAAATAAGGAGTTCTTTATTTCTAAAAGACTAATGAATTCTGAGTGTTCACAACTGAGCCTGTATGCTCCCTTACACCTATGAAAATTGCTGATCCTTTTGAAAGGAAGCACATGCTATGGGGTGCTAATCCTTTATAACCTGCAGCTTTGTAATCGTAACCTTTACAGAGGCCCTAAGGAGAACTTAAGCAAGGAACCATGAATTTGAATGTTTTGAAGAAATTAAAAAAAACAAACCACCATTTCTTACATGCAACATTTGTTGCTTGCAGACAGACTAGAATTTTCTTGCAAAATTACTGAACGTGAAACACCATTGAAGCCACCCTGGAGTTCCAGGTGTAGATGGTCCAAAAGGTAACGCATGAACTCGTGGGCATCCTGTTGCTGGTACCCCCTTAAGAGAAAAGGAAACAACAGCGATACAATCACCAAATAGACAGGTTGCTTTAGTGCTGACACACAAGAGAGCACCAGAGCCACATGAAAGAACCTTTGCTTGTTCAATAACACTGAGCAGACTTCGCAGAGACATTCATATTTTGTGCAAAAAAAGTTGTCTAAGTAGCCTTTGGAACCGTACGTGATTTTGGTTCTTCACAGCTCACTCGCTCTCTGTGCATCTCTTTTTGAGAATGGAGGAACATTTAATCATATACATTTCAGATAGGAAGAGACCTTTTAGAAAACAACAGGGAGCAGCAGACACATAACAGTTGCTCACATATTTAGTTAACATGAAATTCAGTCTGTGCTAGTAACATCCTAGGACTCATATACACGGTAATTGAAAATACACAGAGTAGTAGCAGTGAATTCCCCTCTCACTCAAAGCACGTCTCATTTCTCTTTGTTATTGGCTATATTTGATCAGTGCCTCTGCAGAACTGTTACGAATCAGGTTCAGGCAGCAGAGTATTCATCCCTACTCTGAAACTACTATAAATTACGATCAATATATTGACATTTCAAACCAGCCAAGATTCAAAAGGACACCACAAAATGCATTGTTCACATGGGATTCAGAGTCAGTATTTCTGAGTGGTTTTTCACTTATCCACTGATCCCACTCATTTTGGCAAGTCCAGGTGTTTGCTTGCCTGGTTGTTCCCCTCCCCACCAAAGCCAGGAATTTAATCTTTGGGTTTGTTTTCCACGTGCATCTTTCATCAACAATATGAAGTCTGAAATAACTAGAATGGAAGGGAGATTTCTTTCCTCTTCTAGGGTGAGATCTGTAGCCACGCTCAGAATTGCACACCTCCCCTGCATGACCCACACAACATTTATTGGGAGAGCAAAGTAATGGTGGGGTATCCAAAGCATCTCTTGGGCATTTGGATTTGGTAGGACTCCAGTCTCAGATGTGCCAGCCATCAGCAGCAACGCTGCTCAAAGAGTCACCATTATTATCTCACCACTAACAAACCTAATCAAAGGGAACAGAGGAGCCAGCACAGTAAAATATGCCTTTAAAGTTATTTAAGCTAAATCATGCATCAAATTTAACAAACAACTGCTGTTCATTTGCTGTAAGATGTATGCTGAGATGAAGTCAGAAAGCAAAAATAATGAAACAGTGAAAGCTTTGTGCAACACTGACATAATTATGTGCAAGTCTTTGTAGGCCAAGTTACAAAAATCCCTACACAGTAGAGCTGGCTTTCCTCTTCCTCTTGTCCATTCTGTTTCGCTGCTTCCTCATGCCTCCTCCTCACTATTCCACCTAAGTAACTGTCACAGAGGAAAGTCTGGCAAAGAACAGAGATGTTTTTTATGCTACTGCTGAGTGGAGGGAAAATGTCAGTAAGAGTCATGGCACAGTACCCAGAGTGGGAGAGAAATGAGAACAGCTTTGGTGCAAGGTAAGTCCACAGTGTGAGGCCAGTGTGCTCAGTGAACAACACAGGTACGTCCTACAAAAGTATTGCTAGGAGGTAACAACATAAAAATGACATAAAGCCTTTTCATCTTGTAGAATTATAGTAATGTTTTCTTCCAAACTAGCGTCCTTAAAAGAAATCACCAAGTTTGTAAATAGATCTTACAGCACCCTGAAAAACATCCGCAGCACTATTTACCTTTTACAACAGAAAAAATGGCACACAGAAACACTGCTTGCTTCAACAGGCAAGAGTTCTGTACAGCCAAAAATAGGACTTACTCTCCCAAAGTTGCAAAATAATTATATGTTACTATGAAACAAGGTAGTAAACCAGAACTCGGCTTCAAAGCTGCATGTTAACTGAGCACACTGTAGGATAACTGTGAAGTTGCTGAGGTAACACAGGATTCGCTTCATTTACTGAATACAGATGTCTTCGATTAAATAAACATACAGGCAATCATAATACACAGCTGAAGACGAAATTTATGGAAAGGCTTTGCTTCAGACACCTTTTCAATATTCCTCACATAAGAGCTCTAAAGTATATGGCACCCTTGTTCTGCAAAAATTGGATGAAATAACCTTTGGAATCGTTCCACATTGTTGGTTGTGCTCCTGGTGCACGTGTTTGTACTTGCATACAAATATGTTAATTACAGATGAAAGATTTTTTGGATTTGTTAAAAAGCATAAGTATAGATACAGATCTTTTAGAACATGATGATATGGACGATGCACTGTTTAAAATAAAATATGATCTAAAAGCCCCTCGGCAAAGAATCATAGTTTCTCTGATAGCCAGCTTGTGTAGTAAAACTGATCTCCATCACCTGAAGCAATTCAGTTGAAGCCCACCTCTGACATCCCTTTTCCTACCGGCAACAAGAGGGGATACAGACAGAACACTTCCTGGGAGAACAGAGCACGCTATTGACACAGCGGTAAATCAGCAAAATACACATCTTGCAACTCAGCCACGGAGGGCAGCAGCACCAGGGTTTTTTTTCTATAAGGTTCTGTAAGAAGAACAGCACTTGCAGCCTTTGGAGGCAGGCACAATGTGCCTTTAACAACTGAAATCTCTTTGAGCTAAAACAATTAAACCAGGGTACCAAGCACATCTCCTCCCCCTGCCCCACCACCTCAGGCTTCCCAAGCACAAGCCAAGGTGGCTGCTTTGCCCTCAACGTGCTACTGGCTCTGGCTTTCATGTGTTTGTCCACCCACCTCCTCCCAAACTCACAAGACACACACAGGGTAAAACTAGAATTGTTGCATCGTTAGCTTTTACAAGGTACAATTAAGCACTAAACAAATTTAAATTTTCTCCCTGAATCACGTGGGAGAACGGATCTACTGAGCAGATGACTATTCTCCATGTGATTTAATGAATTTTCTAGTCAATTAATCATGGACATGTTAAAGGGGAATAAAATGGGGAAGAGAAGAACCCCAACAAACAGCACTTTTTCTTTTAAAAGCTGTGATAAAACCCACAGTGCTGAAAATTTGCTTGAGGAACTTTAATGAACTGGTTTCTCACTGAATCTAACAAGAATTAGAGTGAAGGCTGTAATAGGGAAACTGATCACGGACATTACTGATGATGCTCATTTGCCTATAATGTTTTGGTCACTGCTTGCAACTACTGGTATTAAACTTCCTTGATTCTCATAAGCCAAGTGAAACATTTGGCAGTGTGAAGAACAGAATAGATAGATTTGTTATTCTGGTTACTCGTTGAGTAGATGTGTTCACAGCATCTTTTCAGCACTGCTGGAGATGTAACAGATAACAGAACATCTTTACTACCTGAGAACATGGAGCAACTTACCTTCATCACAATATTTCCTAACAGGTTTCAGTGCTCCTTTGAAAGAGGTTCAGGGGCCAGGACAGGGAGACCTTGGAGAGGAACGATACTTTGATTTACTTGGGTAACCTTCTTTTTCCCTTTCTTTTATTGTCTTTTCTGTCAGTATGGGCACAGAATGCCTATTATGCACAAGATTTTTTCTTATAGCCCTTATCTCATGTCCAGCTGGTGGCTACTGTGTTTTCAGAGAATCAAGGAAGTTTCAGCCAGTATGTTTGCACTTAGGCCTGTAGGTGTTGTACCTTTTTTAATCTGACTACACCACTCTCTTACCGCAGCCAAGCTTGAGTTCTGTCAACACCACACACTTGGCACTTACCTACCAGTCATTATCTTGATTCTTCTGCCCTTTGGAGCACTGGCTTAAAGGTACAACTACTACTATTTTAGTATTTGAGACGTTTGTCCTCTCCAACACTGCTACAAGTAGCATGTAGTAGAAGGGTGGGGGAAAAAAAAGCACTACCGATGAACACAGAACTGTCAATCAAAGTGAAGATCCTTTTCAAAGCGTATTTCGGGGCGTAGGGGAAAGCCGCATCGAGTGCATCCCGCAGATTCAGCAGATTTTAGAGTAGGGCACCAACAATACAAGGTTGCAATCAAGATTATTGTTCTTATTCTACAAAACTTACCTAAAATTTGGCATGATTTTCCAAACAACGTAAAATAAAGACTCTGGACTAAATGCAGTTTGGCTTCCTTGCCATAAAGCACAGAGTGTTTTTCTGAATTCTTCCACCAAAGAACTGGAAAGAAAGTAAAAGCTGGTGGTTAGTATGGGTTTGTGTTATAAAAGTTGCAGGTTTGCTAGCTCAATGATACAAATATTAAACATCACTTTCATTAAGACTGTAAGGACTGAGTAAATACCCTTTCTACTATGTCCAAAATCCTACCTACAGCAGTGAAGAGAGACACAGGTTAGGAAAATTACATTTCAGATGTTGAAGACTCACCTGGAAATCTCTCCACCTTTTGCCATTTTACTGCAGGCTCTGCTAACATCATCCCCTTAATACTTGCTCAGACAAGCTACAGATTGTGAATCACTTACTCTGGAGTTTTTTGGTTTGTTTTTTTCCTTTTGTTTTGTTTGGGGGGGAGGTGTTGTGATTTTTGTTTTGGTTTTTTTTTTTTGTAGTATGTTCACTCACAGATGTAACCGTATTTTAGCTGTAATTAATTAACATAATGTCTGGAGCACATATAACTATACCTAGCACTTCTTAACGTTACTTTTAAATGCAGTTAACACTCTGATGTATCCAACTGCTTCCCTCCTGCAGCACCAAACCTATATAAGCAAACTGAAAGGGATACAAGGTGGGATTTTTGGCATAGCCAACTGTTTTTCTATGACTCTGTCCCCCTATGAATCATTTTTCTACGGTTCTGCAACCCCAAAAGTGTATGATGGCTCTACTACCCAAGCACTGGCTGGTTTCCATACAGTTCAGTGCTACCAAGGAACATGCAGCTTACACGTTGTTATCCCCCTGGCTCCTGGTGTGGTAAGTTCTCCTGCCTGCTGTCTTCCCATTCCTCAGCTCCACAGCAGGCAGCTCTTTGAAGTAACAGCAGAACTGCTGAATGTTACTACGGAAAAAGGAAAAATGAATTAAATCCTTAAAGGGCAGAGAACAAAGATAGCATTATGTATTCTGGAGCCTGTTCTTTGAAATGCACTGTTCTTCATGCAGTGATAGGTGACAGCAATCACAAACAGTTCAAGATACAAGAAATACTGTAGTAAATACTCATCTTCTGTAAATGACTGAGCAGGTCTGTAAATATCATCATCCCAACTACCTGAAATAATTACATTTTGGCTCTGCTTTGACTAAGAGATACCATGACAGATGGAGGTATTGGAAGGCATTTCCTAACAAACCACACTGCATCTGCTGAGGAGGTTAACTCCATGCCTACCACCACCTATCAATTCTAACCTCTGCTACCACCCTCCCAGTAATGGAACATGTGCCTCAGCTCCTGCCAGTGAACCCTGAATGATGGAAAAGAAAATGGAGACTGATTAGTCCTGCTGCTCAGAATGGAGTCCTGAGTCCTGCCTGACTCAGTAGTCTCCCAGTGAAGCAGGCAAATTCAGAAATGCAAAAGGACGATTAGAGAGCAGCAGTGATCTTGGCAGCAATTAAATGAGGTCTAACATTCAGCACTGCAGAAACTGTTCTCCTGCCTGCTTCCATAAGGCCACATCCCTCAAAACAATGTCTCTGCTTTCACAGCAACCATAAGCATCAACATGTTTCAACAGCCTCGGCAATGAAAGGACAGTCTCCTTTCCTGCTGAGGACAGGGCAGGCTTCCTCTGGAACACTGCATCACAGCCAGTCCCTCACTCTGAAAGACACAACCTTATGGTACCTGCACACGTCTGTTCCTGCAAATCCAGGTACACCTTCGTACGGTGGTGATTCCCTTGCCCAATGCACACAACCACTCTCACAAAGGGTGGGGAAAGCTCTGGAGGTACCTGAGCGACTGAAGGATTGCATTCATGAAACACGTATTCCCCAGGTTCCGAAGGCCTGTGGCACAAAGGGCAGTGGTGCTTCCCTGGAAACGAGAATGGTTAAGTTAAAGAAAGACTTTTCATTGCTCCTTTTTCCCCACAGAGCTGTTACCCTCATATCAGAATAGATTTAGACAATAATAAACTACACTGTTTGAAAAGTGCAGTTTCAAAGCCAAAGCAACCACCTCACCAGCTCAAACCGCCTTCAAGCTCCATCTTGACATGAGACCTATTTCTTACTCATTCCTGTCAATAGAAAATTATACTACATCTTTTCCTGTGTAAATAAATCTAATACAGGACAACACAGAGTTAAACACAGGCTTTTATTGCAAAGTATTTGTGTGTATATATGTAAAATATTCACAGTCCCACAATATTCAATGAGAACTGGACAGCAATTTCCCTGAAGTGCCTTTAAAAAATTAAAAAAACAATCCTTATCCATGTAGTTCTGTGTCTAATATGCACAATGTGGCTGCCTGCAGGTTGTTTCAAAGTCACCAGCACCAGCTGCTGGCTTGGTTTTATGGTAGCCAGGAGCTGTTTTGAAAGACACACAACAGCATTTATTGAAGTTAGACTGTGCCAAGGAAAAGCAATGTGTTGAACGAAGAGAAGAAAAATCTACACCATTTACAGTCTAGGAGTTTAATCAGATTAGAGCAATGTTACCCACAGATGAGCTTGATTTTTGCCAAATAATCTCTATGGTAGGCGGGGAGGAGAGGGAAGAGAATTGTGGACAGTGTTGCACTTATAATTTCTAGAATCTGCAACACTTGGACACATTCCATTGTCTACAAAATATCGCATTGAAAGTTCATCAAATTTTGGGGGGTTCTTCATTGTTCTAACTGAATTTAAAAGCTAGGGCTGTCTTTTAGTAGTAGTATCTCAAAATCAACATATTATTTGACACCAAAGACTGTGTGCAAATTCAGGTTACCAAATGTGTATTCAAAGTGTTCCAATAGAACTTTTTTCCTCCCCAAATCTACCACAAACATCATCTCTGGTGAAGAACTAATGACAGCAAAATATTTGTGTATAAGTTGTTAAAAAAAAAAAGTATTATTTACATATGCAATTATTTACCAATTCAGTAAGAATTGTTTCAAGAGAGACCTGTTTTCCAATAAAGGAAAGAAACTTCTAAGTAAGTACAAACACCACGATGTCCTTCGCGTATTCTTTTCTTGCTCTTGCCCAGGGTGAGACAGCAGGGTGTCACTGCCAACAGCAGTGCCCTGTCTTTTCTAGGGAAGGATCCAGTGTGCCAACAATAAAAAGATAATCTGTTGCCACAGGCAATATTCAAGTATTAATAAATAAAGAAAACTGAGAAAACAGCTTCTTCTCTTTGTAATCAGGTAATTGTTCCTCGTGGCTGAAGACAGCTATTACTTCAGCTCCCTTTGACTACATTGCTGCCCTGCAGTCCCAGAGGAGGAAAGCTCTGCTCTACCACTCCTCCTGGCCAGGGGTGAAAATGAAGCAGTTCCAAACGACTGGGTCAGTATCTCCCCTCTCCCTCCCTAAAATCTGGGAGAAATTATGATTAGAAACTCCCTCAACCCAAACTGTGGAAAAGAGAGACATTAGGTTTGGGGCATTCTTTGTCTGGAAGAAATTATGCAGCCCTTCAGCTATCTAGCAAGGGCTGGATTGTCCTCTCCTGGGTGCTATTCTGCAGATGTGAAGTTAAAATAGCAGGAAGATGAGAGTAAGAAAAGCTTTTGCAATAGTCCACAGTTCCTTCTGAAAGCAAGTTTTACTAAGCTCTTTTAAAAATTATTAATTTTTTTTTACTTTTTCCTAACAATTACTCTCTTATCCCCCCAGAAAAAGACAGTGCACCCCAGAGACAAAAATACCCTTGTTTGCTTGGAAAAGAAAAGTCTTATATCTAGCCCTGTTTTAATTCCAATAGGTACTGGCTCTTTCTGATTTTGCTGGTCCCACCGATCTCAAACTGCCCTGAACTCCATCTTTAAACCCTTCTTAAGCACACGGAAGCTCAAAGTCTGGGTAAACAGAAATGCAGAAAATAGCAAACATTATTTTGTGAGAAGGGTTCTTCTAGGCATATGGTCGGGAGATGAGAAAGACCAAGTGCACCAAGCAGAATTTGGGTAACTCATTGTAACTATCTCAAGTCTAGGCCAACTCTAAGCCTCAACAGGCTGAAAAAAAACCCCTTAAACTCACTGTACTGGATATGTCATACTTACATTTACTTTTAATAACTTGCTGTTCAGAGATGAATTTTCCAATAGTTTTCTTTTCCTATGTCTGTCTGATGTAAAGGCTGAACTGTTGGAAAGTAGTTAAAAGAGGTTATTTACTCTAAAACCAAAATACTGTGTGAAATGGACAACAGATAATCATCCTAATGTTCAACCCAGTGATTACACTTGCCACTACTTGTCATTAAGGCAGCAAAAAGCCTCCTGATAGCAACATCTGCTTTTCGTAGTCTTAAAATAGTCTGCATCTCCCTCAGTACAGACACACATCCTGTTTTCAACACTGATGTCCAAGTTAATTGCATTAAGTTATGCATGCTACAGTATGCACCCTGAAGAGTGGTCTTATTAGCATGCTGCTTTTCACCTAAATTATTCCTTAATCAAAGGACTGTTTAATACAGAATTTTTCATAAAAATACTTCTGTCGGAAGAATCATCTAAGCCTGTAGAAAGACAACTTCAAAAAATGATCTTTTTCCTTAATCAAAGGACTGTTTAATACAGAATTTTTCATAAAAATACTTCTGTCGGAAGAATCATCTAAGCCTGTAGAAAGACAACTTCAAAAAATCAGGACAAAGTCAAGTTACCAAAAATCAAAAATATCTCGAGTGCTAGCACTTACGTATTATAGCTGAATTTTCTTACCAAAATAAAAATACATGGAGTTATAACATTTGTGCAATACTAACAAAAAGTTACAAGAACAATTAGTTATTCTTTTCCACATCACTGGAAATTACTGGCCCTTCAATTCTAACAGTTTATGACTTCTCTCTCATCTAACAGCAAAACCATAACTTGTTCCAGATTTTAGGTTTTGGGAGGGTTTTTTGTTGAGTTGTTTGGGGTTTTTTTTCCATTTTTTTAAATCAAAAAGTCCTCCAAACATTCAAAAACTGTCATTACACACAATGGAAGACTCCACAGCATCATTTACACCTCCCAAAGAATTAGATCTGGACATTTCTGAAATAATAACGTGCACTTCTGATTGTGCTTAAACATCTCTACATCCCATTACATACCTGAGAAACCCATCAAAAAGAAAATGGAAAATAATGAAAATGTTAATATTACTGACAGATTAAGTGACACACTTAACTTGGGGAGGATCCAGAGACTTCCCAAAAATCAGAGCAATTTCTTAGCAGGAGTCCTGCTTCAAGTCTGGGGCATTCAAACCCATTTGGAAGCACTGTGCGCACACGTACTTCTACTTAGGATTGTGTAAGATTTCCAAGCAATTTTTGCTCCCCAGCACTGGCCACAGCATCTGCATCACAACCATCCTAGTATCTACTTTTCAGGGGAACAGTGCCAGGTAAAGGCAGAGGAAAAACATGTCTCTTCTGTACAATTCCAAGTTCATAACCCTTCTTAACCCTTTGGAAACCAAACTAAGCAATTAATATGAAGACTATTTCCACCTGCATTTTCGCTTCAGCTTCTCTGCTCCAGAAACTTATTCTGGTTTTGAAAAACTATCTTTCTGTTCTGGAAATTATCACCCATTTATATGGAAAAAGACAGTAATTATTGGGTAGGTAGCAAGAAAGTTAATAGATATCTAAATTCCTGTATCACCATGCACTGCTTCCACAAGATTCACCTTTTAAGAAACAAATTCATTTGTTCTGCACTTCTGCTTCTCAGTGATGAAAAGGATATTTAAACACACACAGCATCACACACATAGAAGGACCAAAATATATATATTAAATACATATATACATATAAAACAGAAATATCACTTAAATGATACAAGTCCACCCAAAGCAGTGTGGCTGTAAACAAACTACTTACTTTTCCAAGTTCTGTAGGTGCTCTCTGACCTTCTGTACCAGGCCCAGCTTGGTATCATTCACTACAAAATCATCACAGCGATAACTGCAAGAAAAACATTTATGAGAATGTGCACATGATTTCAATGAAGTATTCCAAAACTGTCAGGCAAGGCTACGTGTGGGAAGCACTGAAGTGACTCAGTGGAAGATTACTAGGGTGGCAGGGAAGCACAACACCTACATACAGAGTTTGGTTCCCTCTGAAAACTACCCTCTAGCAAGAGAAGGTACAGGCAGTATCTTACTACATGTTTTTCCTTCTAGATCAGTTCCTTGTTGGAAATCAGAAGCACGATGTACTGCTTGTCCAGTGCAGAACTCCAGTTCAACAAGAACTCAGACATACGGTGTAGTAGTCAATATTAGTAGACAATCCATAGAAGATTTATCAGAAAAGATCAACTGACATCAAGTAAACAGAACACAAAGTTTTTACTAATATATTGCATAGATCAAATTATTTTAATACTGTAAAGCTATCATTAAAACCTGAGCTGCTGGACAGATACACACATAATGTAGAAGTTTCTGCTACAGAAAAAAGACCAGGGAAAATGAACTAAGAGATTATGTAATTTATCCAAAGTCACATCAGAAGTCTGTGGCAAGTCACACCTCGTGCTTTAACCGCAAATATCACTCAGGCTCTCATATAGTTTTTTTAAATACAGAAACTTGTATTATAATGCTTAAGCCCATATTTTGAGCTTTTTCAGGGTAACTGCGCAAAAGTAAGTAACTGAGCTGAAAAAGAGAGAAACTGATCCCCCCCCCCCCCCTGCCTCAAAACAAATGTAAAGTGAAGCCAAATCAAAATAGCCTCTCAGCAGGAGCAAGGGTTAGAAAAGCCTACAATCCTATAATGTTTTACAAAGATCTCACATTTCCCAGGAATGTTCATCATAATTTAATATACAAACTGTGGGCCTGTAACACCTCATATAGTGCACAAAGGCAAAGGTTAGAGACCATTTCTAGAGAGGGGCGATGAGGGTCTTTCAGGGAATGCTGAAAATAAGCCCACACCTTATTTCACTATTATCCTGTGTATGTGTAAATCCACAGTGCACATGCTGGTTTGAAGAAATGAAAGGAGAGCAAAAGCAAACTGTCACAAGGAGAATACCGCTGCTGCTTTGCTGTATTTTAAATCCTTTGCATTTCTTGCCCTCACAAAAAGGTGGAAGAGAGGTCCCGGAGTGATGTGGACCCTCTTATCCATGCTCTTTCTTCTATTTACAAAGGAAAGACAAGGCCTGTGTACAGGGGTGGGGTAGCAGAAATGGGAAGGGAAAAACAAAAATCCCTTAAAACCAAGAGAGAGGAATGCTGCAGTCAGTAAGGAAGCCCAGCCCCACAGAACCCACACCTGCAGGTTGGTAAACCAAGAATTCTGTGCAGTTTCCTCGAGTTCCTCTCGAAACAGGCCGTCAGCAGAGTGGCAGCCTTGCCGGAGTGGGGACACGCCGGTACTCTTGCAGGGCCTGCCAAGAGCCAGCTCAAGAACTAGATAACCCATATTCTGGCATGAGAAATGGGAAGATAAGAAAAGACTTAACACCACTTGCACCAGCTATTTTGAGAGCACTGTGACAAAAAGGGAGCAGAGACTTGTCACAACTTCCCTCCCCCCACATCCCACAAGGGTAGCTCAGCTCTGAGAGTGTTTGTTGGCCCTTACTGTGAAGCGTCAGGCTGCAGCTTCAGATTCTGGCAGGCACCCGAACGCTTCCTGTGAAGAAAACTAACTTACTGTGGATATGGTTAGTATCAGAACCATAGCTATTTCTCTCCTTTCTCTTTGGCACAGGGCTGACTCAAACACGAAATACATCCTTATCGTCTCAGGTTACTCCTCTGCTGGAGCAGATCCGTGTTTCCTAAATTTATGAAGCTATTGCCTTCAGGCACAACTGGAATTTACAACATTTTTTATTGCATAAATCTGTGATGTAGTTCAAAGGCAACAGTATTGCTAGTGTTCAAACACTGAATTCTTGAAGAGACTATAGAATTGAGAAAGTAAAAGCCCTTGCCACCAAAAGGAGTCTGTACTACCAGTCTTTCCAGCCTCTCTGTTCATTTTTGCCTCTGCAGAGAGAGATTAATACAACTCTCAAGATTTCCAAACACAGAACACAGCAGACAAGGGAGACTTACGCAAGATCTAGAAATTATTAAGATAGCCATTACCAAGGCTGGGGTTTTTTTAAGACTGCCACAGACCTAGCTAGTTTGCAAGTGTGCTTTTATTTCAGCCATGGTTTGCGTAGTACTGTTCAGTCCTACTCAGGCACCTACAATTACCTAATGAAACGTTCCTGCATTTGCCACTGTCACAGGACACCACACCTCAAGGACAACCATCAGAGCAAACTACCCAGGCCAGCTTTGGCGAGAGGTAAATATGGTGCAGGTGGATACGGCACAGTCCACCTCCTCGTTAACACCAATATCCCCACAGCCCCAGACAGAGGCACAGTGACACTGCTACCCCCGGCCTGCAGCCACTGACGTTTATAAAGGGGGAACCGCAGCAGATGCGAGCTACTGAGAGCCTCTAAGCCAACTTACTGCTCAAAGACGATTTAATAAGTGCTCCCATGCCCTAAAGATTGTGTTAACCTTATTTTTAGTCTGATCTCACATTCCAGTCGCATCTTTACATAAAATTGCAAGTTAGCACTTTACCCAAGATGGAGGAACAAAACAAAATACATCATTAAATGTTGGGGTCCTTTCAACAGCGGAAAAATAATTTTAAGATTCACTTATAAACAAGACAAGCTTCTTCTATTTCTCTTTGTAATGGGCAGGTTTTTTTAAACCACCTCCCTTGCAACACTGAGGATTCACCAATCTATTCTGAATAAACAAAGTAAACAGCACAAGAAGTAGTTTATGCTTTAATACTTTGAAATTTGTTAAGTCCACACACCTTAAAGGTAAACTGCCAAGAGATAACTTCCTGTAAGTGAAGCCGACATTCAAAGCATTTAATTTGTGATCTTTAGGATTGTCACAAATTACCAATACCCCTTTTTGCATACAGCAGTTCTACAATATGCTTCTAACAGCAATTATACAGAACAAATTCAATACTTCAGAGAGGGTCCCTTATATGGATTAGCACAATATTTTCCTCTCTATACACTTTCTATTTTTAGCACCTGCTCTACCTCCAAGGCCTGGTCTTTTCTGGCCTCCTTTGCTGCTGAACTGGCAGGAAGCCAGCGAATGTACGCACCGCTCTGGGGAACACTTGTGCTTAGTGCTGGCTGTTTCAGCAGGTTACAGACCTTCCTGCCATGAAGCCCTGATTGGATTTTGAAGAATTACAGGACAAGAAAAACTAAGAAAAATCCAAGTTTCCTTAGTTGTGCTAACACCTTATATGACTAAACTAAGAACTCAAGTTTTACCGTCTTGATAAAGGGCTTTTTACCTTCTTTAATGTTCATTGGCTACAGAATGCAAAATAATGATCCTAAGCAATCTCATTTTTGGATGCTCATGTGCTAGCAGAGTAAGTCTGTTTTTTAAATAAAACCACCATCACAAAAAGAAAGACTAAAAAACAATTATTTAAAGTCCTTGGCACTTAGTTATTTTCAGACCAGCCCTGGGGAAAGGCAGGAACACATTAGCACAGCCATGTGCCTTTAAGAGATAACAAGAAGGCTAATGGGTGAGAAATCTGACCTGCAAGTTCTGTCTGGGATTAAATGAACACAGGAAACGTATTATGCAAATACATAAACAGGGCAGCCTTTCTTCCTCTGTGCTCACCTACTGTCTGTGGACTAGCACAGAGAAAACAAGTTTACAAGAGTCTTCTTTCAGGAAACCTATTTCTGAAAGCAGGCTTCTTACACATATCATTTTACTTCTAATGCACAGAGAAACAACCACTAACACAGCCACAGAAAGCATTGTATATGGCTCGAAAAACAAAAAAGATCTGTACTTCTAGTAAACTCTTTGTGCTTCTGAAACACTGACTACCTCCAAAAAGCAGAATTTAGGAGTCTGTTTTTCTCAGTGCTTAGTGTCAAACATAATTCAGTTGAAGATTTAGTATTGCATCTACTGTCTCAAAAGTGAACAAAGAATCAAGAAGAAAATCATGCTCTCATAAAAAATAAAAGATTAACATTCCCTCAATTTTTCCATTGTGAAGACTGAACAGGCAAATAGGATGACATAGAAGAAAGATCAAAACCCTCTGGAAAGCAAACCCCTAGTTGCCCAACACTTACTGCTACCTCATACATGCCTGTATTTTTCAAAACATTTGAAATAAAAAAAAAAAAATCATAAATACAATAAAATACTTGTCTCAGATTGAAAAAATAGAAATCAACCACCATCTCTCCAGAACAGAAACATTTTTCTTTCAAAGCTGTTGAAAGTTTCCAATGACGTAAAAGAGAACATAATCTAGACTTCTGTGCTGAAATGGAATTACAGGAGACTGCTTGATCTAGTTTTGGTTTACAGCAAGATTGCACGTGAACTAGAAACAAAATTTGATACACCTGTGGTGGCTTCAACAGTCACATAGTATTCCTTCCCTTTGGACTGAAAGAAAAGCTAAGGCAAACCCTGGACCACGCTCTCATGACTGCATGGAAGTTTATGACATGGCCAAAGAAAAGCAAAGGATTAAACACCCTCTGCTTAGAGAAGAGCCCATATAGAACTGTTCACTGCTACTGTCATGCAAGCTGGGGAACACAGTAAATTGGGATCCATAGGATAAAAATGGAACAAGAGTATTCAACTCTGTGCAGTAAACAAAACTGCAAATAAAAACATGAAAGCCAGCACTGTATCAAAACATCTCCATTATTTTTACAGCAGAAGTGAAATTCAGTTAAGTCTTCAGATGGTATTTTCTTGACTTTCCAATCAGTGAAGCTGCCCACATTGCTAGCATAACATATTCATTTTTAAATAAAAGTTCTCTTAAAAGAAACATCATTGCATAAACATGGCACTGTCTACTGGAGTCACGTCTACACTGAAGAAGCTAACAAATAACATTTCAAAATTCAATCTCCACAGTAACTAGTTATGACTCAAATTCACCCAACTATTTGCTTTAGCTGGCAAGCACTATTTTATACCAGTCCCTACGGTGTTGTCTGAAATAAAGGGGCAGAAGTTGGTCTGAATGCTCTCTGCTTTACCTTTACACAGCTAAGTTCATTCCCACTGAAAAAACTGGGTGCAATAACAAATCCAGGTATCTTTTTTCTGATTATCAGGTGGTTAAAAACCTGACATACCCTAAATGAAAGCAAAGATACACTGCTTTTGAAACTTGTTCAGCTTCACGTTAGCACAGGAGAGTAGTAATTTGCTAGTGAATTATACAGAACAGGAACTCCCCAAGGCAAAGCTCTCTACAATTAGTTCCAGTTCATCCATAGATGACTCAGCCTTCTACTTCGATTACAGCAGAAAAGACATCACATGCCAAACTGCTTCTCCTCTGTCCTACCACAAATATGCTGTGAAACACCAGTGAGCTTCCTCAGTATGTGCCTACCCGCTCCTCCTCACAAGCAGATTTTGTTTCAGTTATAGATCCCCTACTCCACACCATACATGTTACCATTTTGCAGTGCCCATACAGGGTGCTCTGACTTGCTCTATAACTCATCAAGCCTCAGCAAGTTAGGCATGCTGTTTGTCACAGTAAATGGAGATATAATCAAGACTTCAAACACCCTGCTAAAATTCCTCCGCACATTACCACCTTCACAGCGACTAGAAGACAAGTCATACTTCAAACAAAAAGCCACAACTTAGAACTCTGTTGTTAACAGCATTAATCAGGAAAGTGGAATTAGCTTCCCACGGCTGTTCCAATTCTGGAAGCTTGTGCATATGTATCACTTAAGAAAAAATGTTGTTTTCTAATATTTTCACACAGAAGCAGATAAAACTGCTGGTCATTTAAATATAATACAAACAGAAGCAAAATCCCCATACATGACAAAGCTACTCAAACCTTCTATGTGTTAACATCCATACAGCTTTTATCATTGCTGTACTCTTCTATGTGTGAACATCCATACAGCTTTTATCATTGCTGTACGTACCATCTACATAATTTTTCACTTGCTCCAAACAAAATCTCTTCAAGTAAGACCATTTAGCAGTGATGATAAAAGTACTTGTTATAAAAGTCTTCCTCATAAAACTCGATACCCAAACTTCAGCAAACAGATTTTTCCCTGAAGAAGTACACAAGAGATACCTGATTATTTGAACAAAATACCCATCAGTGGAGCTATATAGCTAGCAATTTTACAGGACCATAACACGTATTTTCCTGAGATTTGCACTGTCCAAATCCTGCACGGCCACAATTCCCAAGTAACGATGTTCATGGGAAACCATGGAGCTAACAGGAAACGGGGAAGCAGCTGGCATACGTACCATCTACATAATTTTTCACTTGCTCCAAACAAAATCTCTTCAAGTAAGACCATTTAGCAGTGATGATAAAAGTACTTGTTATAAAAGTCTTCCTCATAAAACTCGATACCCAAACTTCAGCAAACAGATTTTTCCCTGAAGAAGTACACAAGAGATACCTGATTATTTGAACAAAATACCCATCAGTGGAGCTATATAGCTAGCAATTTTACAGGACCATAACACGTATTTTCCTGAGATTTGCACTGTCCAAATCCTGCACGGCCACAACTCCCAAGTAACGACATTCATGGGAAACCATGAAGCTAACAGGAAACGGGGAAGCAGCTGGCAACAGTCTTTTTAGGGCTGAAGAGGATGGAAGACGCTGAATGCACATAAGCATTGCTTTCAGTAGTCTTGTAGTCTTTGCTCTCTGAGGAACCGCTTAGAGCTGAAGAGGATGGAAGATGCTGAATGCACATAAGCATTGCTTTCAATAGTCTTGTAGTCTTTGCTCTCTGAGGAACCAGGGAACCCAATATTACCAGCAGAATTATCAAATCTCCCTAAACAGTTCTCATATCTTACTCTAAGAAACTGATAGAATAAATCAGCCCAGGCTATTCTTCTGACAGAAGAATCACTTTTGTGATTTTGCCGCTTAATCTTGCCAGAGAGTTGATGCTGCTTTTTGTGATTTTTCTGCTTAATCTTGCCAGAGAGTTGATGCTGCTTCCCAACAGGATCCATCACTTATCCAAACTTGTACAAGTTGCATCAAATCTCCAAAAGAAAGAAGCCTTTCTTTCAGAGTGAAGAAAAAAATTAATATTGGGGACAAAACCCCAAACAAAACACAAACATACACACCTCAAGTTCACGTTCCTGGGCAGGAACTACAGTGTATTACTTTACTTTCCGACACTATGACAAATAAATGATACATGAAAGGCTTGCCAATTTTATGGAAGAAGTAACTACAACCAAGGAGCAGCTTTTGCAATTAAAAGGTTCGGGTCTTAACATACCCCAGAGCAAACAAAAGCAACTCCAAACAACATAAATAGCATTTATTTTTAAAAGTTTCTGCTAAGTCATTTGAAATGCAGGATTTTAGCCACAACCAGTGCTACAACACACATGCAAAAGCAGAAGGTAATTTCATAAATTTTTTATAACAGCCAGTTCTGGAAATCAAGAGATGAAGTTCTCAAAAATATATGTAATATAATGATTCACAAGAGTCTAAAGTTTTCACCTTCTTGTATGTAAAAAGTTGTTGCATTACAGTGTTTAAACCCTTACCAGTATGTACTGTAACTACTGCAATCCATACACACAGTATGCTGAACTTTCTCTTGTTTTTCTGTTTTCTTATGATTGGTCATAGGAATCTGTGCGTCTTCATAATGCTTTTTTGCATGGCCATTCACATATCTAAAAAAAAATGGAAAACAAAAAGAAGTCTTATACTTTTAAACAGTTGCTTAACCAACATTCACTGAAAATAAGAAGAAAAAAGCAGCCTAATGAGCATCCAATATTTATAAAGGCATTAAAATAGGCCATTCACCTGTGTGAAAATATTGGTTAAATTTTTTAACCTTTTACCCCTTTACTCTCCCACATTGTCCAAATTAATCTCTCCATCTTCTTCATAGCAACCTAAACTGACATCCTTGTACCAAACCCCAGGATCTGGGCCCTGAACAGACTGATGCACCTTCAAAACTGAGAACATAATTAGCTCCCTTTTCCCATACTTTTAATGTGGTTAGTTCTCCATATTGCTTTCCCATATACTTTTCTTACAGCTCTACTTTTTTCTCCACCCAGCACTGATCATGTTTGTGATTACTTTAACAGTGTGCTGACTCCCATATGAAAGCACATCCATTTTAAGCTTTCCCATTCTGCAGCACCATTTAATATTCGAACATTCTGTGTTTTATAAAGCTCATGAATTTAAAAGGTTCTAGGGCTTGGGGTCACACAACCGAAAAAGAAATCTAAAATCCTACAGCTCTTTTGCTGACACAATAAGCATTTTCACTCTCAACATTTGTTATCTAGATAATATCTTTAATTTAAAAAGTGCAAGATCCCTACATATCAGCTGAAAATCATTAGCACTTAGAAGTGTATGGCCAAACCTCAGGTGAAGTCCCTCCTCCCTTATTCCTTGCCTGTTGAACTCTGTAATGCTAATTGATAGGAATTGGACAAGCTCCACAGGAAAGTCTTAGTATCCTACACTTGCTCTCACATGCAGGTGTCAACAATTCTGCTAATGCAGCTGTGCTCGTTAAGGCACAGAGGCCACGGGGTGACCAACATGGCTATGCTGGCTGCAGCAATTACGTCCTAACCCCAATGAGAGACAGTTGTGCTCGCAGGAGTTTGTTTGCTGCCTAATGGTGCAAATGAGAGGTTTGTAAATCACAGAATCATAGAGTGGTTAGGGTTGGAAGGGACCTTAAAGATCATCGAGTTCCAACCACTCTGCCATGGGCAGGGACACCTCCCACCAGACCAGTTGCTCAAAGTCCCATCCAGCCTGGCCTCAAACACCTCCAGGGATGGGGCATCCACAGCTTCTCTGGGCAACCAGTTCCAGTCTCTCCCCATCCTCACAGTAAAGAATTTCTTCCTAGTATCTAATCTAAATCTCTCCTCTTTCAGTTTAAAACCCTTCCCCCTCATCCTGTCGCTCCACTATGGATAAAGAGTCCATCCCCATCTCTCCTGTAGGACCCTTTTAGGTACTGGAAGCCATGTTCCCACCAGAAGCGCTCTGCTGCTGTAGCATGGTCATTAATGTTCCCAATGACTAACTTGGATGATGTACTTCAAGTGAAGAACTGAAAAGCTTTATTTCTCTTCCTTTATTTCAAACATTATCTGAACAGAAAAATATGCTGTGTGCTTTCATGATCAGAAGTGCTCCCGTTACAAGAGCATTGCATTCTTCTCATCCAATTATTTCCCATTCTAAGGATAGGAGCAGTTTAAAAGTCAAAATAAACTGCAAAAATAATGACTTGATGTCTAGTAAATGCACACAAGAAAGGTCATATGAGGACAGTAATAATATTTTTTTGAAAATTGGTAACAAATAAAATACTCCAAACGCTTCATTTCACACCATCACAGAACATGAAGTAGCTCCCCCTCTCTTAGCTCTCACCAATTAAAATTTATACTCCAAATAACTCCAAACTCTTCATTTCACACAATCACATAACATGAAGTAGCTCCCTCTCTCTTAGCTCTCACCAATTAAAATTTATAAAATAAATTAATAAATTAAAAGAGGAAAAAAAGGGAAAAAATGCATTTGCGTTGAAAACTCTGAATAAGAGACATTGTTAAAATTGTGGCACTTACTGCTATCCAGATCAAAAAACCAAAACCTAGAGCTAACTGAATCCACTTTAAAAGACAAAGTCACTAAGTTTAGTGATGCTTTTCCAGAATAAAAGAACACCAGCACAGATGCTACCCTACAGATGAAAACACGTTCACATCTCGGATACTGTTTCAATGTCAATACTAACCGCATTCTCATTAATATGTGCATCTCTAACATTTTTACAGCAGCAAATTTTCTGCAATTATCCTGACATATAAATAACAGTATTGACTGTATCACTCCTCTACAAATTATTCTGGTGTACTTCAACTTATTCAGACAAAAAACAGGTGTACTTTGAAGGAATTCTGATGGTAGCTAGTCCTCATATGTTATGGCAATAACTGTTCCAAAACCACATTACAGTACATTTAAGGCATTTTCTGTCTAAGCTGGACAGTTGCTCTTTTTCTTAAAATAAGCTGTGCCAACTTTGGACTTGTCATTTCCAAGAATTCTTATTCATTTAGCCTTATTGCAATAGAAACAGCATTTACAGAATGGAACTTCACAATAATCAACTGAACTAGCAGTTCTGCAGCCACTTTTTGAGTGCAGCCATCACATTCATTGCACACTTACCCCCTCCCCCCCCAAAGAAAAAAGATGCTGAGTATAACCTCTCATTCTTATAAGGTAGCAAAGAAGGGTGTTCAGTATAAACATAAAATGTTAAATGAGATCATGAAGAATTTATTTCAGAGAATTATAAGGCATTAAGGAAAATTTTGAATGAACTGCCTCAGCAACACAGGAGAAAGATAAAGGTCTGATTAAAAGATCTGCACACTAACACTTTGTACCCACCTTCCACAATGGACACTCGAGCACGTCAGACAGACCCAGGGACTTTTATTTGACCGGCACACTATAAAAGATTTAAAATAAAAGAAGTGTTAAATGAATTGGCTCTGATATTACAGTTGTATAACACATCCTGAGCACTAGCAATAGCTCTGCTGACTCCAGCTTAGCAGCACAGTTATATAAAATAGCCAGTCCTGTTTACTAACCTGTATTAGGGACTAATCTAACAGACTGAAGAGCTATTCACACTAAAGCACATTGGCTGCCTTCTGGCTTGGGTTTTAGTCTCAGGCTACACATTTACCTGTTACTTTCCATGAAAAATTTAAACTTTTTTTTGTTTGCATTTCAAAATAAAGTAGACCTCATGTGGATGTAATACAATACAGAAATAACAGAAGCAGAAGTAGCAAAAACACTGGTAAAGTTTAAACACCTTTCTTTTGAGCTTTAATAAGGCAATACACCGTACACAGGGAAAAGAGCCACAGCACTTCACTTCTGTTTCATAAAACTAGTTATACAGGAAGCCATTGTAAATAAAATATTGCAAGAAAGCTGGGCAATCTGATAAGAAACACACAGAATAAAGTGCTGTGCAATGCATGGTAATACACACCATTTATACAATATGTATTCCTATGCTGTAAGTGCTTGATCCATAAAGATTTTACCCTTTCAGTCACACACAAGAAGCTGAAAGGTTAAAATGAACACAGTGCTGTGCTTTGCAATCCATTCAAGACACCAGAGGACGTTATCTAATTTTTTAGCTGTCTTCTAAGTCTAGAAAGCTTAAAACTAAATAAACATGGATGTTTTTAAGCTAAAGGGCTAAAAGGGAAAAAACCAGCAGATACTAGAAAATGATGAAACACCATCCCAGGATATTCCAACTCCTACCTTAGTTTCAAAGCCTGACAATTCAGATTAGAAATAAAATCTCAATAAATAACCCATGTAGTCAGAACACAGTAAAACAAGATAGCAGAGCAAAATTTCCAGTAGTCAAATCAAGAAAAAGTATATGCATCTTTATAAACAATAGCAATTTTGGAACTACAACTAAATAAGTGAACCCTCAAATTTTGAGAGGAATTCCCATTTCGACCATGTCACTGAAGGAGGAATGCCACAATATACATCACTGAAATTTGAACAAAGTAAAGTCGTTAACAACTATGCATTACCACAGAATTCAAAGATATAGCATTACACTTTTAAATATCCAACTAATATGATGAGAAAAGAAAAATTTATTGCTAAGTGCACTTCTGCAAGGGCAGAAAACAACAATAAAAAGACTTCAATTATCCCCAAAATACAAAAGGGTATGATGCCACCTAATTTTTCTACATGCCAGAAATAATTGCTTCTTGCAGCAGCCAGTCAAAAGAGTCACAGAGGAAAAATAAGACATCAGAAACACAAGTGTCTGTGAGTCCCAGGGGAAGAAGGGACAAAGAGAAGATGATTAAATCCTAGCATACATATAAATTATTTAGATTGTTATTTATTGTAGAAAAGCTTGAGAACAGCCTTCCCTGTCTGGAGTCACACCTTAGAAAAAAGGAAGTGGGGCATCTCAACCGTGCACAGAAGCTGCTCCAGGGTAGGATCACGCAAGCAGGCTAATTCAGGACTTTTAGCAAAACTCAAAAATAGGTTCACCAAGCTACAAACTGTGGTTCATATCACACCGCTGAAATCAAAGACTATCAGAGAAGACTAAGCTAACAAAAGTGAAAGAAGTTTCTTTATCAAATTAAATGCTAGTTAAAAAGAAAAAGCAAGGAGGGGATCAATTTTGATGGAGAGAAGTGACTAGCTTAGCTGTTCAGAAGAGCTAATATACTTTTCCGTCATTAGATTTTGCCTTTTTTATTTAAATCAGATGGAAAAATAAGCTACCTAACACTGCTTCTTGAAGAATTATTTTCTGGATTTGAATTAATTTTTATAAATAGTTGATGTATTTCAGTCACAGGCCCAATCCAAGGAATGTTTGAAACTAAATGGAAAAAAGCACATTCCACAGAAGTACTATTTGAAGTAACTTTAAACACTTTACTAAAGACTCCAGAATTCTTTTCTTCAGCAGCTGCAATTATTACTTTACTTGAGAAACACATTTTCTCACGTGTCAGCTTTACCGTTTTGGTTTTCCAAAAACAAATTCTCCTATTTCTAAAGTTGATGGGTTCCCACAACTGCGATGGTAATCTTGGAACAGATGGAAGACAGCCAGGTAGAGCTGTTCTGGTGTACATTTCAAGTTAGAAAAGTGGAAGAAGTTTGTCTAATTTGACCAAAATGTTATCGAGAAAACCAACTTTTGCCACTAGCAAACAGAAGAGAAAGACCTTAAATAACCATCACCAGTTAAAAACAGGACAAATGCACCACCAGTCTAACCTGATACAATCTTATTTTCCTGAATTATACAAACTGAAAGGTAAAAAATTAACCAGAAGGAAACAGAAGCCAAAACCATTCATGCACTCAAACATAGATTAAGTGCTGCTTGAACAAACCACTACCCTACACTGTCCTTGCCAGGAACATGAAACAGTCTTCCTAGCATTAAAATCTCAGAAGAAATCTCCCACTTTGAAATAACATTTTTGCTTTTACTATGTTATCATCTGTGGACAGAACTGGTTCTCAAACAGTAGGTCTAAGCATTACGATGCAAACCATTATTCTAACTTTCCACCATATACCAGACAATTAGAATTTCACATTCAGGTATTTTAAACATCAGCACCGCTTGCTTGTCAAGGGTTAAATTGTACTGACGTAGTGCTCACTCTGCAGAGTTCACACGAGGTTTAAGTGTTCTGCACAAAGCCAGCAAACAAGTCCACCAACTCCGCACAATGCCAAAAAAACAGCCTTCACTAAAATGTTCCATTTTTCATATCGGCGAAGAGGAAAAGATGGCTCATTTGTTTGCCTTAACTTTTAGGAAGAACTTTGCTCCAATTGCATCACAGCATAAATGCGTAGTTTATCTTCTGCACAAACATCTCCTCCCACAAAGAACTCAAATAACATGGAAGTGGCTCCCACTGAGATTAAACACAGAAGCCAGTATCAAATTTGTGACCTACAGTTGCTCTGTTCTAAGAGGATTACACAACTGATTTTTTTGTTTTTAAAGGTTGCTGAAGATTGCATTCTGTATTTCTCTGAGGTTGGCTCAATAGACACCTGCATTAAAGCTTGGCTCTCCAGGTATTCCTCAATTCAGATCTTGAAGCAGTTACTGTCTGATACTTACTATTAATAAATTAGATTAGGCCGGGAGCTTCAGGCATTAGTCAGGACTCTGACAAGACAGGCACCATGGAATGCACAGCAAAAGTGCAGTCACTGCCCTGAACTGCTTAAAATCTAAACTCAAGGTAGACAGTTTGGCTTCATATGCAAATAAAGTGCATGTTCCTTTTAGACCTGGTACTAACATGAAGGCACCAGGCTTAAAAGTAGATCAGAAACAAGACAGACAGACCAATAGCAAATCCCTTGTGAATCCAAAGCAAGTTGCATCACCCTGGAACTCCGCCCTTAAAAGAGACTCGGGTGTTCAAGACTTTCAAGTCAGACTGTTACACACGGAATCGTGAGGAAAGACTCGCAAACCCATTTGTACAGGTATATATGTCTTCCCTCAATAACCAGTATTCGAATAGGGACTTGGGGTTTGGGTTTTTTTAGTGCTATTGGAAAAAAGAGAAGGATTGGAATAAATTTATGTTCAAGAAACATCTTAACCATATTAAAAAAGCCTTAATTACCTGTGTTTGTTACACCTTATTTAGTATTGTACAGGTTAAGCAACACTGGCTGCTTTCTCAGCTTGAACTAAAGTGGCTACTGCAATGCTTATCAACTGCCTCACTTTGCTATATTTTTAGAATAGCTTCAGGTGGTCAGGCAAAGATGATACTACCATGTCAAAAGAAAAGGGAAAGCAAACCTCCAGTGCCACAATGTTGTCTGAAGCAGTAAGCCATTTGCCATTTTACACCAATACCAGCTTATTCAAAAGCTTAGAAACATAATTTTTTGTCATGTAATTGGAAAGGGAAATACTTTTACCGAATGACTTAAGTGAAATCTGAATACTCGTTTGTTATACAGCCTACAAAGTCCTCAGTAAATGAAGAGTATCAATCCACCCCCAAGAGAGCAAACAATCAAACACCACTACATACAGACTCACACATAATTATAGGAACATTCAGAGATGTCTCTCCCCCTCCAGCTTCCACTTTCTGTAAACCATCCTGATAAGTAACGTTCATCAAGTTACGCCAAGTAGAATGAGTAAGATATGGCTAATCAGTTTGGCATTCTCGTTGCAGGGCCCCCACCCCATCTTACTCTCATGATCACTCAAATATGTACTTCTGAATCTTGACCTTTTTTTTCCTTATTGAAAGCTGACTCTAAGTGCAGTCTTGTGAAACATGAACTGTCCTGGCAAACACTGTTTTCCTTACAGAACAAAAGCTGCAGATTTCCACTGCAGGGAAGTTACAACTATGTAAAAGTATACAAACAACCCGTGAAACTAATAGTTTTGTTTAAATAGCACACTGCATAATTGAGAAACTGGCAAAAGAAAAAAGCAGCAGGAAGAGGAGGAGACAAACAGGAAGCAGATTCTGTAAAGCTGCCAAATTGAGAAACCTGCAAGATAGAGTGTCACCGGAGCTCTGGCAGCAGCGCAGCCACGTGATGAATGCAAACTGGGGACTTCACCAGTCACAGGAGCACAAGTGACCTGAGGCCAGAGCTACTACACAACTGTGCTTACATCCAAGTTTTAAAATAATCCGTAATTACATCACTAAAGAAAAGGCCACAAAACATCAGCACAATAAGAGCAATATTTTGGTCCTTCTGTTAAGAGCACATTGAATGGAAACAAGATTAGGGTCATTAAACCATTTCCGATAGTCTCCATGGCCTTTCCGAAACAGCCTGGACTTTGTTCTCAAAAGGAGCTGTACCAACGTTGCTGCCTTACTTGTATAATTATATGGTTAAACT